GACCAAGAGAAACATTTGTTCTTCAATTTTTCTTCAAACCAGGATTTCTCCTCCTTGTTGAGACACATTGGCAAGAGACGTTCCCAGTGATCATCCATGTTAAGAGAATGTGCTTCAAGAATGGTCTTGAATTGAGTGCAAAAATCGTATACCGAGTCAAAGATCTCCATATGCTTTTTTGGAATGTCAGTATCCGTTTTTAGTTGAAGATAAGGCAGTCCAGAAGGAACCAAAGTGCTCTTGTTTTCCATCTTGACCGGGTTTTCCATAGCATAAAAGACTTTGTAGGCTTCTTCAGCTTCTTTGAAAAGAGTTTCAGCTTCCTTGTATGAGAGATAAGCAATACGAGTGTTCTCAGCACCAGGATGAATTTTTTGACACGACAAATAGTGGCCATAGGCAACCTTAAAACCAGAACGCAAACGATCCAGATTTTCCTTAGCAGTATCCAAGAGATGAACAGAGGTAGATTCTTCATTTAAATTAAGAGCAACATCAGAGATAGTGTTTTCTGGAACTTCTTCCATGGCATTATCAAGGGAAGGATCCATAGAGGAGAGAGAGGAAGAAGCAGGAGTGTTAGAGTCAAAGTTGGACATAGTAGCAACAGAACTCACTGTAAAAAATGTGATGTTTGGGTTGTGAAATGAAAATAGAATAGAATAAAAAAGAAAACAAAGAAATACAGTGAGACTGTTCAGTACTTCTTTATTACAAAAATAAATTGATTGTTCTAAAATATATCTTTTCCAGGTTGTCTTTTATACTACCTGATTTATTGACTAATTATGATTACTGATTATTGATTACTTAACACCTTGACAGCGTGTGCCTGGGAATTGATTATATAAATTCTCCTTTAATTCTCCTTGTTACCCAAAAGGTACAATTATGGTTTCCTTATTTGTAAATATCCATATTATCCCAGTTACCGTTATTTACTGTCATTATACAGTGCTTACTTTATATTTATAATGTATAGTGCTATAAGTGATTATTCATTTATATGATGAAAGATTATTTATTATATTTTGTATTGAAAGTGCTCAGATCACCACAAACGGTAACTGGGATAATATGGATATTTACAAATAAGGAAACCATAATTGTACCTTTTAGGTAACAAGGAGAATTAAAGGAGAATTTATATAGTCAATTCCCAGGCACACGCTGTCAAGGTGTTAAGTAATCAATAATCAGTAATCATAATTAGTCAATAAATCAGGTAGTATAAAAGACAACCTGGAAAAGATATATTTTAGAACAATCAATTTTTTTTTGTAATAAAGAAGTACTGAACAGTCTCACTGTATTTCTTTGTTTTCTTTCTATCTTCTATTCTATCTTCATTCACAACCCAAACATCACAAGTAATAAATTACTATTACTAGAACAAAGAATACAAAAAAAACAATCATAAAGATTGAAAAAAGAGAAGGAAACTCCAATAGGGAGAAATATAAAGGAAGGAAAAGAAAAATAAAAAGTGACTCAAACTACACCAAGATAGGTGTAGAGAGTGGAGGCAACAGAGAGGCAAGAGAGCAAGTGGCTACGCGATGCGTGTGGATGACCACAACGACAAGGCACAGGACGAGCAGGAAGCCAACCCATCTTCCACCGAAGTAGACGACTACGCTCCCACACAGTCATTGGGAGCAGGAGGATGGGGTCAACGCCAAGAGAGGGACGACAAGCACGCAAGAGAACAAGCCCATCAGGTCTAGCCAGAAGACCAGCCAAGTAGGCACGACGATAATGCCTGATGGCAGACTTGGGATCACCACCAGAGGTAGCAATCCACTGCTGCAAAGAGGCAAAGCGAGGGACAGAAGGAGAGACAGAAGAGTGACAGACCAGCTTCCAGATGAGGTTGTTCTTCAACAACTTGGGCCACCGGAAGCGAGGAGCCGCAGGAGCAGAAGCGATATGCTGTAGCATAGCCGAAATGAGAGTATCAGGTGGCAGCTGTTGCATGCGCACCAACATCTTGAACCCAAGGATGGCAACACGCTCCTTCATGGAAGGCAAGTGGGTCAAATGCTTGAACACCACTGTAGACGCCTTCGAGTGACCACCAAAAGCAAGTCGGAGACACTGGTCTTGAGCACGCTCAATCACCTTGAGGTCACGGACCAAGAGAGAAGAGATAGCAAGGCCATACTCCAACTTTGGCCGAATGAAGGTGGCATAAAGCCGAGCAGAGGTCAGGCGAGAGAAACCAGTCGAGTGTACACCCAAAGGCTGTTGTGATGATCTGACACTAAATAAGTCTTCATTTACATACTAAAAATATATCATAATCAATTTACATCAGAAATAGACATAAAAGAACCTCTTGTACTGAATAAGACAATGGATCTTTTAATAGATCAAGACGTATAACCGAAATCCATAATTTACATTATTTAATTAATTTAAAGTAGTCTATGATAATAGAGACTCAGTCATTTGCATGAACTCTACTACTACTTACTCCGACATCTCTTCATGTATAAATATGCTAGAATAATTTATAATCAAAAAGAAACAATAAAATTGTATAGAACAGTCTCAAAGTATCTACCTTTGTCTCTATATCATCTTATTATATAACTCTATTATCAAAACATCACAGCTGTAGACCAGAACGCATAGCCACCATGGCAGAGCGAGCATTGCGTTGGACCAACAGAGTAGCATCTAACTGTGCCTTGTTATTGAAGGGCAAGCCCAAATAGTCAAAAGACTCGGCAACAGGAAGAGCAGCGCCATACAGCCGGAGGGAAGAAACACGACCAGAGGGGGGTGGATTGACCACAACGCACTTGGAAGGGTTCCACCTGAACCCAAGCGACAGAGAGTATTCTTCGGCCTTCTTGAGCAGGCGGGGCATCGTCTCAGCAGTACCAATCAAGACCACATCGTCAGCATAGAGCAGTGAGTTGATCCAGAGGCCATCATACTTGCGTTGAGGCATGGATCCAAACACACGCGAGCGAGGCAGAGAGACAGAGCGCAGGCAGCAGGGAACGAGTTAATGTACACAGAGTACAAGTACGGAGACAGGATAGAGCCTTGCAAGACCCCCGTACCAGGCCAGAAGGAAGGAGAGCGAGCACCAGACACCAAGACCTCCACCTGCACACTGTCAAAAAGACAACGAAGCAGACCAAGCAGAGGATCAGAGACATAGGTCTCAAGAGCACGCCAGACAACGTTGCGGTCCACGCTATCGTATGCTTGCTTGATGTCCAAGAAGCATAGGACAGGAGGTTCACCAAAGTGATCATCAGCGTGCTGACGACACAACTCGTGCAGAGACAAGGCTTGATAAGAGTGCCACGATGAGCTCGGAAGCCACCTTGTACAATGTCCAGAGGAGGACCAGAATCCAAGAGCTCAGGGTATACACACAACTCCAGCAACTTGCGCATGACCGAAGTCAAGCTAATGGCCGGTAGTTGGCAGCATCAAGAGGGTCGCCTTTCTTGAAGATGGGTACCACCTGAGCAGTACACCAATCAGTAGGCACTTGAGACCAGAACCAGCAAAGAGAAAAGAGCAAGACCAAGAGAGGAGACAAGTCATCCACAATCGGCAACAGCATCTCAGTACGCAGATGGTCGACACCAGGAGCCTTACGGCGAGAAAGCTTCTTCTTGATGGTGGATGCGACCAAGTCCAAAGTGAAAGGACAGGCAACATCACCACTAGAGGCATCAGGAAGAGAAGAAGCCGGCAAGTCAAGGTCAAACTGAGACTGTAGGTACAGTACATCAGAAGCAGACACACAGGACCAGAGGGAAAAGGAGGAGCAGACGGACGCGCAGAGGGCAAGTGATCACCTGCAAAGACAGAGCGAAGATGACTGGACATCACCGTAGCAGCCACAGCAGGACCTTCTGGGTGGAGAACCCAGGAGAAGTAGTCCGACTACGACGCAACCGCTTGATGGTGGCCGTGGTGTCAGAGAAAGAACCAGAAGAAAGCTTGTCACAGAACTGCTTCCATGTCTCACGACGACGACGCTTGAGCTCAGCATTGAACCGGTCACAGCAGAAGAGATATCGTTTCCATAGTACAGCCTTACCAACACCGTCAGAAGCTCGTTTCCAAGTTCTTCGGGCGTCCTCACGAGCATCCACCAAATGTTGCAGAGTGGCAGTCCAGAACCAGCTGTTACCAGGAGGCCGTGGTAGTTTGCGACCAACCGACTCATCGAGGCAACGGTGGATGGTATCAGTGAGTCTACTAGCAATAGAATGAACGTCAGGGATAGCCCCTTCGGTTGGAGAAGATGCGTGAGTAGAGGTACGACTGCTATGTTGCTCGTAGGCCGTTTCAAGTGTATACTTAACTTCTGCCAAGAGTGTATTTTTGATCGGCGCGCTATGCAACCGGAAAAGAGACTGATACAGCTCTACACTCTTGTGATCATCCAGACAAGACAGTTTCCATAAAAGACGCGGATGAGCGACAGGAGCAGGCGGCAGAGAGCAAGGCAGAGAGCAAGAGAGAGAGACAGGAACATGGTCAGAGCCAAGGCCAACATCACACACAACCAAAGAGGGATGAACCAGATCATCAAAGCTGATGAACAGGTCAATCACACTACTCCAGCTAGTGTGCCCAGGTTGAGCATTGGCCATGCGGGCAGCAGAGAACAAGGTAGGAACACCTTTGGCCAGCAGAGAGTTCCAGCAGAAGAGACCAGCTTCTTCAACCCATTCAGCCAATCGAGTACCACGAGTGTTGCTTCGAGAGTCACCAAGAAGAGGAACACTACGTGCATTCAGATCGCCACAAATGAACGCATTGGTCTGAGAGGCATGGGTGCGAGCAGGGAGAGACATAAGGAGAGACATAAACTCATCATCGGTCAAGGAAGGAGGGGCATAGACACAATGGATGAGAAATGTAGAAACCTGGCAGGAAAAGACATAAGGAGAGGAGGACGGAAGAGGAGTAACCGGATAAGGACAAGAGGGATTGACCAAAAGAGAGATACCCATCTTGCCACGGAAAGAGTCAGCAACAGGTTGCCCATAGGTGTGATACTGTTGCCAAGAGGTAGGGAAGCGGAGAGGAGGAAGAAGCCAGGTTTCGGTTATAAAGATAAGTGAGGAGTCATAGAGGTAATCGGTAACAGTGCTAATGGCTTGACGAGCAATACCATTAGCATTCCATATAGTCATGGTGAAGTCATAGTTGGAAGGAGAGGAAGGGGCATAGAGGCAGAAGAGAGTTGCATAGGTACCTCGCTCATTAAGAGGAGGAGACCGGTTCACCATCACCGGCCAAGGTAAAGTCCATACTGGAAGCAGAGACAGAGGGAGCGTTAGCACCAGCACCAGCACCAGCCACAGCGGAGAGAGAACCAACCACGGAGCCAGCTTGCTCCTTGGTCAACCATCCTTGGCGAACAAAGTCGTAGGCCACCTGTCTACGTACTTGTTCACGGATGTATCCCATAGCACGGACAAGACGAGCCGCCTGGAGCTCACGAGCCTTTGTAGTCAGAGCATCAGCATCCAAAGACGCAAAGCAGGATCCTTCACGTTGGCCCAGAGAAAGGATCAAAGTCAGTCAAGACCGGAAGCGAGTACTTGGCCATGACCTTAAGAAGATCCTCCTTGTAGGCCGAATGGATCAGCAAGGCTACGACGTTACGAGCCGGATAGTGCACATCAAGTACACGGCTGTTATCCAACCCGATCAGTCGCAGCTTGCGGCGGAAGGCAGAGAGACGGTCACGGTACTTGTTGGGCAAGTAGACGTACTCGAAGCGAGGACCATCTGCTCCGGTACCAGCGACAGAAGAAGAAACCAAAAAGATACGGGCAGCGGCCTTGCGTTGCTTAGGCGTGATTTTGGCCTTAGGTTTGGCCTTTGCGACTGAGGGAGAACCGGACTTTTTGGACCTACCAAAGGCCTCCGCAGGCGTAGGGTTCTTCTTGGCAACTTGAGCCCACTTGGAGCCAGCAGCAGAAGGCGAGACAGAAGAAGAGGGAGCAGCAACCAGATCATCCTCCATGGATACATCCAAAGGAGAGGCAGCAGATGAGCCTGCTTGGGACTCAAGCTCCAAGATTCTGGAACGGGCGGCAGCCAGCTCCTTCTTGAGAGCAGAGTTCTCGGCGACCAGGGACTCCAGTTGGGCCAAGCGCTCCTCATGGCGCTCAAACTTGGCCTGAAAAGCAGCAAACCAAGCAGGAGGAGAAGGAGAGAGAGAAGAAACCGAAGGGACAGAAGAGAGCAAAGCAACATTACTTACTTCTGGTAAAGAGTCAACACCAGAGCAAGAGGGGGAACAGAAACACCAAAGTCAAAGACAACGTCTTTGTCGAGATCGAGATGAGCTGATCTCGAAGGGGTGCTGACGTCACCAACTCGAGATCGCGACAGGGTACGCGTCATGTCAGCAGGGATCAGAGATGGAGAAAGAGAGGAAAACAACCGCTTACCCGATCGGGTTAAAATTTTAACAGTAGTTTTAGTGCTTGAAGAAAGATGTTCTGACAAAGTTTGAGCTTTGTCTGGTAACTGGTTCTTTGTAGATGACGATCTAATGTCGAGATGATGTTGTTGCGATGTCGAAATGAGGGGAATCGCGGTAGTGAATGTGCTAGAGTTGTCGGACTGTGACGTTTTTGGTACCAAAATGTGCGTAGGAATTTGCAAAGTTGGAATAAAAAAAGAAAAACGCGGTTTAATAGGCCAGGTGCAGAGATTTTTTCAAAAACAGCAAGTGAATTTGAGAAAAATAATAAAAACTGAAAAAAAAGGTTAAACGACAAATGTCTACGCGTACTTTCTCACAGCGACAGCGTTGAACTTTTGTTAATATGTCTTTGAGGTCTTTGGCAGTAATAATATGTTTATAAATAATAGGTGATGCGTTTATAGTTATGGGAAAAATGATCAAAAGTCTCCTTTTTATTTATTCATTCAATTGTTATATATAATGCGAACAGGCCATGATATTAAAGAGCCGCTGCCTTTTCGAGGCCCGAGAATTCCGGTTCGGCACTACTGGTTTGAAGTGCCGGCGCTTACTTTTACCCTTACTTTTGTATAATTCTTCTTCCACATTACCACCCTCTACTACAACCAACCCGACACAAATATACCAGTCCTCAATGGTCCAGTGGCTAGGATTTGTCGCTTTCACCGACACGGCCGGGGTTCGATTCCCCGTTGGGGAATTCTTTTTTATGTTTTCTGATAACATATTTTGTGTTGCCAAGCGACAATGTTTGATTTTTATACCAGTAGCGTATAGAATAGTTTATACAATAGAATTCAAAACAAAGGAACAATTGTATGCAATGAGCATTACGTTATTAAGGTAATGAACCTCCAAGTGAATGATTTAAAATAAATGACCTTCTTATGTCAATATCCTGAAAGTCAAATAAAAAAAAATAGGCACTTAAGCCAATACCAATGGCCTAATAAGTAACCCAAACAGTTGAAGTAGAAGTAAATTGAAAGTAATTTAGTCTCTGTGGAATAATAAATTGAGCGGCTTGTGTACTCGTTTGTTAAGATCATGATTGGTGGTTCAAATGTAAAGATGAAACACTTCATAATGAACTCTATAACACAAAATAACTCGATACGCAAGAAGATAAAACAGATGGGATTGTAAACTAAGCGACCATATATTCAGCGAACATGTCAAGATAGTAGCTTTAAGGAGAGAATAAAGTTTCTAGGTAATACAGAGATCAGATAACAAAGATCGTAAAGTGAAGGTAGATATTTTTAGACCGAATACAAAAGGTTACGGGCAATATGATATTCCAATAATAACATAGCCTGAATCATTAACACTTTTCTTGAATGATTTTGTTCAACGAACACAAATTATCATGTATATGGACATGTCCCTTTCCGGGATTTCTTTTCCCTAAGTCATAACCCATGATAAAAGCAAATTGCCGTAAACGTATTCTACTGAAGCTATAGTGTTTATTATTAAAATCTAGGTTTGCTTATTATACACAGACACATATACTATATGTATAGAGGGATTTTGTACATCTATTTCTATTCAGGCACATCATTTATAAGACGATTCTCTTTTCTGAATTCAGCTATTTGAGCCGTAGTGGATTTTGTCACTTGTCGACTATAGAGTACAGTAAAGATAGTCATGCCAACCACAACCACAATTACCATGATGTTACCATACAGCACAATCTGATCGACTGTCAAACTACTCTCAATCATAATCACCTTGGCCACAAATTCAGCCATCAAAAAGACAGCCCAAAGCGCATTGATAATGTAACAAAATTTGCGGTACTCATGAACGTGGATCCAGATCATTTCCATAAGTTCGGTCGTGTGTTCTTCCCCATTTTTGTCAGTCCATACGATAGGTGGTCGTTCTGCCATAATTTGCTGTGAAGCCATAAAGACAATAGGGCGTACAGTAAACCATTTGGTACGAATGGGGATCAAAGTGATAAAGAACATAACACTGATCAATGCCGTTGTTGTTGAATCACGAAGTAAAGCCAATCGCACATTACCTAATATATTTGTGAGTCGCATGATAGCCAACCTATGCAACACTTACCACTGATGACAGACAATACAGCAGAGAGAATGAATGAAATGACAAAGATACAGCCCAGAATATCAACTTGTCTTCTTTTCCAAAATACATAAATGACTCGTAGTAGAGGAGGAATACCCGAGATAATCAAAGCAATCAAGACACTTAACCAGATCTTGAGAATATAATAAAGTGCCAATGGCAAACCAATATCAAAAAGGAAAAGATAAAACAGAGGTCGAGTATATGAAATGTATACTTTAAGTCTTTCTTTAAAAGTAAGTTTTTTGGCTTGTTTAGGTTCAAGTGAGATAGTTGAGCTAGAAGGAGATTCCATTTGATAATAAATTGATTCAGATCAAGAAAACACGGCCAGTATTTATATCATCACTGACAGTGTACAAAAAAAAACAATTCGGCTAATATCAGCCATATATAGTAAGGCGATTAGACTATAATGCTGAGCAGCATCTCTTCTTGGCACTAGATCAGAAATAATACTCAGCCACTTTTTACCAGAAAGGATCTGCTTCATCTTTGCATATTTGTTTAGGAAGAAGAATAAAAAAAAAAGGAGAGAAAGAAGGGTATCTCTCTCTCTCTCTTTTTTTTTTTTTTTTTTTTTTTTAATCCTTTTCTCTCAATTTAGAATATGATACAATTATCTCAAGTATGAATACAACAATGGCAAAAGAATCTTCTTCTAGTCTTATTCATAGACTTCATACAAACGAAAGTCAATTAAGAACATTGGCTGTAGTGCTTAGCTTAACAGGTGGTCTTTCGCTCTCTTTTGCATTGGGTGTGGGTATTTTGATTTATTGGTATAGTCGAAAATGTAAACAAAGACGAAACACAAAAAGGCCCTTGACAAGCACAATTCCATTTCCTTCACCACCTGTCTCTAGTCTAATGATACCAGAACCTTCAGCACCTTCTGCTAAAGATATAGATCATACACTCTGTCATGATTGTTTAATACCACCACCTGCTTACACACAAACTACGTTTTGAATACATTTTAATCATCATAATAAACACGGCTCTAATATTATAAGGGGGCGATGGATTCATGTCAATTGTGGAGTCGAAGTAGGAGGAGGAGAAGAAGCAGAGGAAGCGTTTGATTTGTTGTTTGTGCCACCTAATTTGAACATGCGACCTAGTGAGGAACGAAGTGAATAATTAGAGCCAGAGGATTTAGGCTTCAATGTACGCTTATATGAATCCTACAAAAAAAAAAAAAAAAAAAAGTAAATCATAAAGATACCACTATGACTACTTACAAGATAAGCGATTTGAGGTTTGTTGAATGCACCTCTTCTTTTGCCTCGAATGTATTCAATAGCATCCAATGGTTTCATACCCATCTCAATCAAAGCAATAGCAACTAATGCAGGTGCCCTGCCTAATCCTGCTACACAATGAACTGCAATTGTAGGTGCTTCTGACTCGTCTTCATCAGCTAACTGTCTGTTCTTTTCTACTAGTTGCAACCATTCACGCACTACTTGTGGCGGGGGCTAAGATGATATAATTATGATTCATTCTCAAATTTATTATAACTTACCACACCACCATCTTTAAATGGGAGATCAAGCACTTGTATGTTTCTTTCAGCTAAACGAGCTGCACTGTATGTTGGTTGACAACAACGAACAACGGTAACCACATGAAGGCGCATAAACTCTTCCATATAAAAATCCAGTGTTGACTCTGTAGGACAATCAAGAATCAAAAAGCGTAAAGATGATTGAGGAGCGTCAATGACAGTCAACATACGACCAAGAGGAGAACCGTTTCGAGACATTAGGTATAGTTCTTTTTCTTTTTTTTAAGGTTTAAAAATAAGTTTGTTTGTAATGTTTAAAGGAGTATATAAATGAAAAAAATAAGGGTTATCTAGAAAATAAAATAAAAAAAAGGGAGTATAAAGTAATTCTCTTCTTGATGAATAAATGTGTATTTTTCTTATGGAAAGCACCAAGTACAGATGTCGTCGCGGTGAGGAGTGAAGAGAGTTTGATCAAGTTTGGGATCAAAAAAGTAGAACATAAACAAAAAAAAAAAAAAAAAATATGTAAAGAAGAAGAAAAAAAAATTTTGTTGCTAGGCTTTTTTGTTTCTTTCATCATGTTGAGAGAAAACACGTGATTTGCAAACCACGTGCTCCAATCGAATTAGATTCATGCTTGACATTCTTTTTGCTTTATTTTCACCACATTAGTTTTAAGGGAACATGTTCATGCTGTTGAGACATGCTTGAGTCAAAAGAACCATGGTCGCTATCATGATCACTATCACTCTCACTCTCACTATAATGCCTCATTTCATCAAAGATAGAGGCAACATAGTTAAATTGAGTCACCCATTCTCTTCTGGCAGTTAAGGATTCAGGCACAAGATACATTTGGCATTCAAGTTCATTGTTTAGCCAATGACGTTCATTTCTATGGATAGCCTTTTCATTGAATTGAAGTACTAAGCCTCTTGATCCTAAATGTACATGAATTTCATCCCCTTCTTCTTCAGCTGATTCAAATGCTTCAATAAAGTTATCCAAGGGTACCACATAAAGAGGTGGGCGATTCTGTTTGATATTAATACACATTGACAGAACTAACTCTTACTTCTCTGTATTCAAAGTCATAGAGTTCAAATTGAATACCACGCAATACACCCCAAAAACGATCCATACGCTAAATAAATAAGTCCCTTTTTTTTTTTTTTTGTTGACTTACAGGTACCATATCTGTTTGAACATACAAAGTAATAAAGTCTTCAAATAGGATCGTATTATTCAACATATTTTGTGTTCGATGACTCATATAAGATCCATGAACAACCAATAGTTGAAAATCATTACTTTGTCCAACTGTTGGATTATTATTGAGTACAAAGCGTTCTGTTATCTTTGCTTTAGGATACAGAGAAATAGAAATCGTTTCTTGTCCTATTACTGTTTCTTTTTTGGCTTTTTGGAAGAGGGATTGCTTTGCTTGAGAATAAATAGTGATATTAGCCGTCGTTGGTTCTTCTATATCACTATATAAGATGAGTGGCTATGACAGAAAGTGAAGTATACTTACAATAGAAATGTTTCATCAAATTGTGCAATGGAACTATGTTTGCCTGTCTTTTCACTTGTCGCATATGAACTTACGCATGTCTCTTGATTGACCTGAACTCCACAACGGTATATTCGGGCTAGAAAAGCATATGTTATGATACGTATGACAACAGAGACTTACGTTTAGATGAGCTGGTTGAAATGACTTGAAGTATTCGCAAATAAAACATGGCTTTCGGTTTGAACAATGGTTTGTTGGCAGGACTAATAACGATAAGTTACATGTCTCAATCAACCACTCACTTACTATGGTTGATTGCGTATCATGGGTTTTCTCAAGACAATGGAACGATAGTAGTCTGTTAATGGATTTCTAACAAGTGCAGACGCTTGTTCATCCTTGATCCAGTTCAGTTTCTCCAAGGGCAAAGATTCCAACGTATGACACGGTCCATTGTAATGCACCAAGGGCTCGTTAGGGTGATAGATGGTTTTTTCTGTCAATGACTTGGGCATCATAGGCATAATTCTTCGATTGTTTGTGGTACCAAAGCGAGTACTTGCATGAGAGATATGAGAAAGCGTCAAGTTCATGAAACTCCGAATAGAGACAGTCGAGATAGAAGATCGAAGGGAATCTGCCGAAAATGATTTACGACGTATAGAAGGCGGGCTTGGTAGTAAAGGATTTCTAATTGTTGGATAGTTTGACATGGTTCTAAGATGTAGTTAGGAAAGTAAAAAGAAAAGTATACATGTCTATCAGGAACGTATAAAAGTCGGAAAATATTCATGCAATCACCTTATTTGAAGGTCCGATACATTTTTCATTTGAAGAGACATCTCATATCACATGTCATAATCATAATGGAGCATATCACTTTAAAGAGTCTATGTTTAATGATCTGATGACATTGAGTCACTTCATTCAAGTATTATTTTGAAGTATGTAACTGAAGCATGTCTTTTTTTTTTTTTTTTTTTTTTTGAATTTTCCAAAATTCATCTAGCTCTTTGACGTTTTCTTCATAAACATAGTACCGATAAAAAGAGTTGTAATTTCTATTTCTCATTTCTTTGAATGAAGGAAAAGAAACATTGAAAATCAGGAAATGTACAGATCTCAGCCAAAAAGGAAATTTGAGTTAAAAAAATTAGTCAGTAATACCAGCAATAGTAATCAAAGACGCTTCCTATGAGATATATAGATGCGAATGAAACGATTGATGAATTATTGTCAAGACAGAATTATATTCATCTTATTTAAAAGACGCTAGAAATTCTTGTTCTGAATTTATTTCAATCATCAATTTAGATATATCATTAAAAACCAAAAGGGCTCAGGCTCCAGTTGCTGAGTATAACAGTCTTGCATTCTCTGTGAGTTTGATTAAAGCATACAATGAGAGGACGATCATTACCTAAAAACCAATAATATGCATTTTTAATCTGCAGGGTAGCTTGATAATATATCAGACTGGTACAAGGTCAGAAATCAAATAATTGTTAAAAATAGATTAAATTGACTTACATTGCCTCCGTGAATATGAGTATAAAAAGAAAAGCACCCGCGTCGTTTAGAGTTGAATAAGGCTGACAATGAAGATTGTCTAAATTTTGATGTTCATATCTCAATGGAGCTTCAACGAGTGATGTAATTGTTGCTTGTTCAAACGATAATGTAGTATATCTCCTTTTTCTTTTAATCTACTCTAATTGCTTCAAAAAACATGCCATTTGATGAGATTCTTCTTTCTCTTCTGACTGATGCTATATCATCGTATTCATTTAACTTACAAAACTAACTAGTAAATCCTCAAGGATATTTCTCGGCTATCTTTTATTATATCGGATGATGACAAAAGTTTTATATATTCAATTAAATAAATTCTTTGTCTTTTAGCGAGATCTACATATTTTATGTGTGTGCTTCAATATTACCATTTGATCTCAGTTTTACTGATAAAGTTTGTCTATTCGAGTTAGTTCATCTAAAAAGGCAGAATATATCTTATTTTATAGAGACTAGCAGGTAAATCAAGACTCATCGAAATAAGGTTCCGGACGAAATAGACACATATTTCTAGACCAATGTCCTATAACCATCTTAATCTAGAGGAAAAACCAACGCTGTCCCCTCTACTAAAAGAAAAAACAAAACATGAAATATGAATTTGTGTAACTTGTCTTTCACTTTTAAGCTGCATTGTCAGGTGGCACATCATATATATATATATATATATAAAAGGCTGTAATTTAATTTTTATTTATTTTTTTTTTTTTTCACTTTCTTCAAACATGAGCTCCGTTTCTTCCTTTGAAGGTAGTGACCAAAAAAGTTTCCTCGATGGATCCTCTTCTTCTTTACGCCATTCCTATCTTCGCAAGTCTGATTTATTAGACACATTTGAAACAAGCCGTTTACGTGATATGGATACTTGGAGTGTAGCTGCTACGATTGATGACCAAGAATCAGTTATTAGTGCACACGGTGGTCCTCCCTCTATTATCAGCAGTAGTCGAATGACTATTGACAGAGAGACAGACGATGATCGGTCTACTTTGGACGGGGAGTCCTCTATCCGAGAACATTTGCACGATATGCACTTGGCTGATAATACGTTACGTGACTTGGTCGAGAACAAAAACCTGCTGCGTGGTTGTAGTCTAGATGACGAAGATGACAAGCGCTCTCGATCTAACGCTGCCGAGTTTGGCGACGACGGTACTCGCTCTGCTACGGCTGACTTTGATCATAGTGCTGAAAGTGGAGATGAAGACAATGTCGTAGACGACCAAATTATGGCACCTCCTCAACCTCAACCAAGTTTTGCTTCTGTCACAAAGTCCTATGCTGAGTTGTTAGAGGAAAATGAAATTCTTCAATCGCAACTTCGTAGTGCACAATTAGCACAAAAGAGTCAGGCGGATATGATTGCTAACCTTAGAAGCTTAACTGGTTGTAATGATGAAGTGTATGGTAAGGCTTTAAATCTTTCTCATTTAAAGGACGACTCAAAAGAGAAAAAGAAGTCAGTATCCAGCACACGTAGCAATAGCAGCAATAATAGCAACAGCAACACTAATAATAATAATAACAGCAATACATCCAATACCGCAGAAAAGAAAGACATGTATTTCGATTCACCTATGGATCATACACAAGTCCCACCTATTGTGAATGCCCGTACACTCACTCAAAAACTAGCTCGACTTGCAGAGACTTTGACTCGGTTTGTGAATTCAACTGTAGATGAAGAATACCGTCTGGAACTTGAACAATCTCTGTTTATGCACATCACACAATCTTATTTGAATTCACTTCCATTCGGGACTGAAAACCAAGACTTGCTCAACACAGCTTACTCGGATCAAATCCATCGATTTCATAATACATTAGGCGCTAATTTTGCAAAATGGTACCGCAGACAGACAGTACAATCATTATCACTGAATCCAGCCACAAAAGAGTACCTTCAAGACATGAGAAACCACTTGACAGAAGAAATGTTACAGCTATTAAGCACGATGCCAAAGACTTCGGGTCGTTCTTTAGATCATATGCATATCTGGGATGATATTCTTGAGTTATGTTCTGCCTTGTCGCTTGAGATCCATGGTGGTGATGCTGACGTAACTGCTCAATCAATTGCTGTTGGCAGTAAATTCGATGAAGAAATCATGGCTTTGGTTGGTCATTCTACAGTAGACAAAAGAGTCAAGATGATGATTAGCCCATTATTTGTTGATGAAGAAGAAGTTGTCTTGATGCCTGCTAGAGTTGTCCTTGAATAAGTCTAAATTGAGTTTAAATAAAAATATTACATTTTTTTTCGCATAAAACCTAAACGTGTGACCCTTATCCTCCTTCTTTTTCACTCTCAAGATGTATAAACCAACACCTTGTCACTGTATGATCAGTACTTCTTGGCCTATCTCTATTCAAATAACAAATACTGAGAAACAAACAGACAGTACAAAGTCCTCTCATACCTTTGTTACTTATACTATTATGACAAAAGTAAGCTTTAAATCCTTTTACTGTTATCATTCATACTCTTTAGGTGGAGAAAGAAGCCAATAGAAGATATAGTGAATTTGAGTCTTTTCGAAAATCGCTTGTAAAGCTATACCCTACTTGCCTTGTTCCACCTATACCTGAAAAACATTCATTTTGTAAGTTTTTTGTTTTCTAGTCAAGCTTGGCTGACAATAAAACTAATCTAGCCGATTATACTACGCATAAACAAAAGGATGATACTACCATTATCGAAAAAAGAAAAAGAATGCTTGAACGCTTTCTAAAGCGTATAGCAGACCATCCCATTCTTCATCAAGAGCATATCTTTCATCGCTTTTTAGATGGGAATCATACTTGGGTAAGTGAACCTATCAACTATGTATTGATAACCATACTCTATAGTCTGATATCTTACATTCTGCTCCCCTTTTGAATTTGCCCAAAGATCCATTATTGCCAAGCGAAAACTCATTTACACTCACAAAACAGCCCTCACAGCAATCCCAGTCTCACTCAATTGTACCTGTTCCTTCCAGTTCCTATACACTCAAATACCCCGATAAAGAATTTGAAGCATCCGAATTCCAAGTAAGCAAATCAGCCCAACAAGTCTCTTTGCAATTCGAGAAATCACAAAAACGTATTCTTCATCGATTGGGAGACTTGTCGAATGATTACTCTGAGTTAGGGTCAGCTTACAATGCCCTTAGTTTAAATGAAACAGAACAATTGGCTAGTTGTATTGAAAAAATAGGCCAAGTCGTAGATGATACATGTACTGCTTCCAAAGACATGGTTCATGCATTACAAGTCGAGTTTTCTGAACATGTACAAGACTATACACAGTACGTGTTGATTGCAAAACAAGTCTTGCGCTATCGTCGCTTAAAACAAGCACAGCTGGAACTGATTGAAGAAGCCATCGACGCTAAAAAGAATTGTTTAAGAGGCCTTGTCAAGACAGAAGAAGAAGCACAGAAACTAAAGACAACCATGGATCAACTTTCGGTTGAGGAGAATCATATTCAACGTCCTATTCAGTCTAACCGGTCAGGGAGTAGTGCAGATGATGATAACAACATTGATACTGAATCTATCGAAGATGGGTTCTCTGCTATCATTAAAAGTCCTCCACGTACAGAACAAGAAGAAACAGAAGAAGATAAAAAAGAGGTTCTGGATTATCCAACCAGCGCAAGTGCACCTGTGCTGCGTGCTTCGAAGAATCAGACAAAACGATGGTCATCACCACGAAAGTTGTTTTCTGCTGTAACATACACCATTCAAGGCATGATCGATACAGACCCAGAACAAACAAGAAGAAATCAGATAGACAAGCTAAAGACGACGGTTGAACAGGTTTGTCTCTCTGATAAATAGATAGGCCATACTCACTTTAGATTAGTTGGAACATGCAAGAGTGAGAACAAGACAAGAACTCAAGGAAATGGCTTGTACAATCCATGAAGATTTCGAAAGACTACAAAAACAAAAAGAAACTGAGCTCAAGTCTATTTTGATTTCTTTTGCCAAAATTCATGCTTATTATTGTGAACAGGCAAGTGGAGTCATTGTAAATGCGTATTAACATAATATAGAATGCTGCTTCTTGGGAAGATATTCGCAAAGAAGTCGTAGTGACTATGGACAATATAAAGTAAATAAAGACATGTTTATTTTGGAAATGATATAATACAAGAAAAAATGAATATGCTATAATGATTTCACAATCTAAAAGTTCTCACGCATGAATTCAAAGAAGGCAAAATTGTCGGGATGAGCACCATACTTGTAGACGAATTGAGAAGCCAAATAGGCACCAAAAATGGCCTTGACATAAGTCTCAGGAACGCGTTCCAACAACTTGGCAAGACCAAGAGTCTCAAGAAGCAACTTGGGGAAAGCACGAGTCAAGACAGTTGTGCGCAATGATTCGTTATCCCAAAGACCAGATCCTTGTAATTGAGTTTGAAGTTGAACGATTGCATTAGAGAGTTCATCAGAGAGAATTGAGATAGGTGACTTGGTACGTTGGTGTTCACGCCACAAAGCTTCGAATTCAATGGCAGCATTGTGTTCAATGATCTTTTGGACTTCCTTGACGTAGCTTTCATAGAATGCAGGAACGACACCGTCCTTGACACACATGTGCTTGTCGAATTCTTCATCGTTAAAGGCCAAGGCAGCCAAGACTTCGAGAGAAGAGGAAGTAACACCACCCTTGTTAGCAGAAGCATCCTTGAAGATGACAACACCAGCCTTTTCAAGACGGAGACGGGCTTCTTGGGTAAAGAACAAGTTGGCACCTTCAACAATGTACTTGAAGAGAGGACCGTTACCACAATCAATCAATTGTTGAACATTATCTAAACCAACGGATTCAGGACGACCACCACAAGGAACAAAGACACTAGCTTGAGCCAAGGGGTTGGTGTGGAAAGTGTTACGGAAATAAAGACCGTTTTCAACAACGGTACCATCAGGTAAAGTGACATTGTCTTCATCCACGAGGATACGGAAGCCTTGAGGACTCAACTTGCTAGTATCAAAGTTGCTGATCATCAAACGAGATCCGGCCAAACGGCTCAATTCAGTACGATCAATACCAGCAGCATCGTAAAGAACACCAGAGCCATCAACAATAGCAATTGTCTTGTCACTAGAGATCTTAATCTCGTTGGAACCCAAATCACCATCAGGACCACCGGTTTGTAACTTGGTGCATTCTTCTTCCTTCAATTCAAGCTTACGGTAAATACCCAAAACATATTGATGAACAGAACGAGTTGTCATACCATAAGTGTCGTGAGGAATACCACCCAAAGATTGACTCTTACCAGTAGTGAAAGCCTTCCAGAAGCTAGCACCACGTCTGCGAGCATGTTGAGAAGCCCAATCCATGTATTCAGCAGTGCCTTCGTCAGGACCAAAGAAGAGTATTTCAGGCTTTTCAGTCAAATCAACCAACTTGTCCTTGATACCCACAGTTTCACCATCAATCAACAAGTCAAGTACAGAGTCGACATACTTTTCAAAAGCAACAAGAGGCTTATCTTGTTGGTCAATGTCCAAAAGGATAGTACCTTTAGAACCACCTTCAGGAATATCCTTGTTCTTACGCTGTTGTGTGTTGGCCAAGTTGTAGTTTTCATCGAACAAAGTACGCAAGTTGATAGAATAAGCTTCTCTGTTACGAGAACGAATCATACGAATACCACCACGAGCAACATCACTGAAACGGAGATGGAAACCACGGAATTCAGAACCAACCACCAAGAACATACCATAAAGAGGTGTGGGGTATTCAATTTCGGGCAAGAATTTAGGATCCATACGGAAAGAGAGAGCGACCTTGGTAGTTTGGTAGAAGTTAGTCTTGAGAACATGTTTGTTGAAGGTCAAGAAAGATTCAAAGACCAATTGTTCATGAGCATTGGTAGTAACAGATTTGATGCGCTTGTTAATGTCATCCACAGATAAGACTTCCATGTTAGTCAAACGTTGATAAGAGATAGTAGGTTGGAGAGTAGCTTCACGTTGGTTGACATAGTGAGTAGTGGCAAAGTTAGCATAGAGAACCTTGATCAATTCAGGATATCTCTTCATAATATCGAGAATGTATTCACGGGTAAAAGTATCTTGACGAAGACGCTTCTTCAACTTGGAAAGGACTTCCTCGTGAACAGGGTTTGCACGGTCCAGAACAGAAGTCAAACTCAAGTATTCTTTACCCAAACGATTAAGGAAATGTTGAGCAAAGATCCAACCAACATAACCATAGGCCATTTCTTGAACAGAGAGCTTATTGGTTTGAAAGTATTGTTGAAGAGGTGTAGTAGGCAAACAGTACAAGAGAGAGACTTCCTTCATGACTTGATAAATAGAATGTTCAATAGGAGCAGCCTTGGATTGAGGCACAGGATGCAAGTATAGACCGATGATCGTCACACCGTTAGAGAATTGTTCTGTTCAAAGTTAGAAATTTCCCAGGCTCCCAAATACGTTATGACTTACCAACATATTTACGGGTGGAGTATAAATCATAATAATGGTACAAATCGGAAACAGCAGAGAAGAAGCCCTTTGTGCTTCTTTGACGATAACCAATAATAAGACGCTTTTCACGAGAGCCCTTCACTTCGTACATTTCAATCACAGGGCCTGTGCGTTGAAGGACGTTTTGCATCACATCCTCGTAAATCTTGAGAGTGTAGTCAGTAGCCTTAAGCAAGAAGCTCTTATCGGCCACTTGCTTGATATCAGTTTCTTGTTCAGGAGTAGGAGTTGTGTTTTCGAATTCACATTTGGTAACAAAGTAAGAACGAATTTGAGAAGTGAGGCCACCACCATTGGAGCTAGAGCGATAGGATTCAACACGGTAGGCTTCAGAAGGAGTAGAGTTGTCCAAAAACTTGTCATCAATAATTCTTTCATGTTGAGGACCTTTGACTTGAGAAATACCAGGTTCAGAAGAGTGGATATAGACAGCAGAGTCTTCAGTTTCCTTTTGTAAATTAATATCCAACACGTTTTCATTCTTAGTGTAAGCAAGGATCTTGGCACCATAGAGGGACATGATGTGGTTAGAGATAGTTTCTACACTTTCAAGAGTAAAGTAGTAGTCATCGATATTGAGGTTACTAAAAAAAAGTTGTTAATCATCATGTCTCTTTTCCTTCCCCTCTTTGTGTCCCATTAATATAAATACTTACTTGTAAAACCACTGGACTTCATTCTTGACTAATTCTTTAGGAAGAAAACCAAGTTGTTCAAGGTTTTCACAGACCTTTTGCATTTGAGTCTCCTTTTCAGCAAAAACATTGGTAGCATAGCCACTTTCGTTATTAAGAATGCGTGTAGTATCTTTCATGTTTAAAAATATGAATGAGGAAATAAAAAAAACGATAACACGATTGGTATTTATATAAAAATTAATGTGAGTTTAGCACAAGTGTGAGTCAGACAGGATTAAGGCACAGCAGCACCTCCGCAAAAGAAAGGAGTGAGAGAGAGAAGATGCTGTTTAAATGGCGCAATTTTGATTGGACGAATCGTGAGAAAAATAATCATGGCACAATTTGAATCGGCTTTAGAACCTTATTTTTTATTTATTTTAGCCAACACCTAGACTTTTTTTTTTAGAAAAACGAAAAAGATAGCGTTATTTTCATTATCAAAAAAGATAAAAAAAGAATGTAGATAAGATATCAGATATTTTGACAATTAATTTCTGTACTCTCTTTTTTCTTTATTTTTTTTTACAGTAAACAAAACTTTACACACAAATGATGTATAAATAACATCTATTTTAACACAATGACTATTCATCATGGTCTAATTTTATTGGATATTACCAATGTTACAAGATGTGGGGTAAAAAATCCCTTTATTTTCCCGTTAGTTTTTATAATATCCACCCAAACTTGAACATGGTTCCGAGGTTCCTTAGAATAAGGTACCTTGCGAATAGCACCATCTTTTGAGTGTACATCATTTTTTTTAGGTCTGTGAGAAAATTCAATCCAAATATAGTTAAGTACATCTCTTTTTTTTTCTGTAGAGTGTCGCAACCTGAAAATGTATTGAAAGTGTGGGGTAAAGAAGGCAGAAGAAAGAAAGAAATGTGGTTACATGGTAATAAATGCTTAAACATGAAAGTGAGAGATTATACCTATATCTATCAACACTTGTTGTTTGAACACATCAAAAAATCAAAAGTTTTTTTTTTTTTTTTTGAAATACAGCGAAACCCTTGAACACTTTCAGGAGAAAGCATTCGCATAGATCCAAACAGAAGGTCTGAGACTATTTGTTCAGTTGAATACTTTCATGACATTAGTTGCGGTTACCTACGAGGCTCTCTCGAATCATTTGATTGAGTTCTTTATTTGCAGTATCACAATAGTAATGGTCTCAAATAAAGAATGATCAAGTTGCCATATGGACTAAACACCATTCTACCATTCAACAGTGCAACAAACAATGGCTAAGTTTTATTTGTTGGGTTTGTTGTCATACGTAATATGTTCAATATGTCTGTGCTTTTCTGGACAGAAAAAATATACGTATTTCAATAAACACTATGGTCTTATGTTTTGTAAGATCTTTTGAGAAAGAGAATTGCCAAGCTCCTTTTTCTACCATCGATAATGTTGTCTATACATGCTTCAGGTAAAAAAAGAATGATAAGTTTGTGTAGAGAAAGGTCATTTTTGGAACTTTTTTCTCAAAATGGCCTATAGTCGTTCTCATATCGTCAGAAAAAAACGAAAGACTTCTTGGAATTGAGATACTCGTTTCTTTACATTAGATCAGAAAAATAAAAATACAATAAACAGACTGGTTTTGCCCATAGTAATTATATCAAACATGATTTGGTTACCAAACTAGTTGTGAAAGCAAGAGACAAGAATACACAAAAGCTAACGGCTTGTTATTAACTTAACAGGGAGGATTTTTTGTCAAACCGAACAATAGCTAAAGCATCATTGATCTTTAGTGACAAGTTACTCGTTTGAAACGGATTACTAATGACATGAATATTATTGCTGATATGATTTAAAGCATTGAAATATTGGAATGTTACTATAAAATACTAAATACACCATTGAAAAAAAATTCGTGTGGAAAAAATAAAATTGAAAAATTAAGCAGAGCATGAGATACATAAGTAATGTTTATATTATTACTTACATTAGGTTATAAGGAAGAGCAGATACTAGAAGGGAGATAAAGGTGACAAATTAGTAACAGATATTAATTAGCATATGTAAAATATTTACACGGATACGATCAAGTAGTTGAATACCTCCACTACTATCTTCTAATTACATTCACACTACTACACAATATGATCAACCAATACCAAGCTGTGATTGATACCAAAGGCTGTAATATCAAGTACTAAACCATATTATATTAGACTAAACATCTCGACAAATTATCTACAAAGAACTGAGCGCGTTTAAGCATCATCTTGGCATATCAAAGGACTCTTGGATCATGATATCTTTGTTGCTGAGCTCGAATGACTAATTTTTATTTCGGGTCAGTATATTTTGCACGAATAAGGGGGAGAATGCATATGAACTTGAAAATGCAATATTTGATATATTTTGCCAAAGCCATTTCTTTTTTGGGTTTTTAAGATATAGTGAGAGAGACATTAACTAAAATATAGCCAGCATGGAATTGACAACACAAAGAGAAATAACATTTACTGATAACAAAATCATCACTTTTGTTTATTATCAAAACATTGACAGATTTTTTTGAAAAAATTTGTCTGCTGAGTAGAAACATTTAGCCATATAAATTGATAATCACCTTTTTTTCTCTTTCTTTTTTTGTCTTTCTCTCTCTCTCTCCCTTGTTTTCTTGTTGTGTAGTGACACGCTTTCTTTCGATCTTAGTCCAATAAGAGAATATCATTTCGTATGAAATAATATAGTTTATTTTCCAACTGGAGCAGAACTAAAGGCAACTAGTATGCTTGTTCCGCCTCCAAAAAAAGACTGAATTCGATTGGATGTCAACATTTTGAACTGCAACCAAAAAGAAAAAGAAAAAAAAGAGAGAAAGAGAAAAAAATATTTTTTTTCTTGCTAGTGCCTAATCCTTTATTCCTTCTCTCTCTCTCTTTTTTTTCCTTTTCTTTTTTCCCCTAGTTTATCATACCTCTTTCTTATACAAGCTAACTCTTTTTTTTCCTTCCCAAGTCAATACCTTTATGAGTAAGCGTGTGCTTGTTATTTTGACTTGTAGCTAATTTGTTACCTAGCAACTGCAACTTCCACAAGAAACAGAACGAGCCAAACTGGCAGAAGAAAGCAAAAAGATCCTGAGCCTGTCATTGCATCAGACGAAGAGAGTGTTGAAGACGAATCAGTAACAAGATGCGTCTGTGGTGAATCACGTAAGTTATCAACCAACTTTTCTTGTGTGCTTACTTTTCTTATAGATAGTATGGGTCTCATGGTGTGTTGTGATCAATGTGAAGTATGGCAACACTGTGAATGTATGGGTCTAGACGAAGACGAGATTCCCGACCAATACTTTTGTGAACAATGTAGGCCTTCTGATCATATAGAAGTGAAAGGCTATGATAAGTAAGTTATCTTTGCTGTCCTTTTTTTTTTCTTATCATATTAACCGTATTCAAGAACGCGTAGATATTATAAGCCTTCCTCACTCGTTGCTATGGAAGCTTTAGATAAAAAGCTACCCAAACGAAGAACAACCTTTAATAGCCGAGAAGCGTCGATCTCTATTGAAGAAGTACTGGCTTTGAGAAACGCTATTGAACAGTCCAAGGCTTATGACGCTTCTGGTATGGAACTCCCCAATAGCATCAAGGTGCAGCAATATGACGCTATGGAGCAAAAGCTAACAGTATTGCAAGACTATGGTAATGAGCAAAGACGTTATAAACTAGTTTTCTAATATTGAACAGAAGAAACAGATACACTCGTTAAACAAGTCCGACCTAAGCGGCAGCACAACAAAAAATCAGAGGACTCACCGAAACAGACTGGAAAAAACAAAGAGAAAAAACCTCGTAATCGTTATACCCCTAGACAATCTTCCTCAATAACGCCTACAAGCACCACCTCATATAGCAATTCATTCACACCACCTCCTAATTTCACAAATAGCACGCGTCGAACAGCCAATCAATACAAAGGATCACGCTCCCGTACATCTACACCTCAACCCGAGTTACAGACACCTACAAGCTGCAGCAGCCAATTATTTGAACACTTTTCCCAGTCCGCTAGAGAAGCTTCACCTCCAGCCAAAGTCCGCTATCCTTCACATCGTATGACTATTTTGGAAATGAATCGAAGAGCAAATCAAATACTCGAGTACATTTGTTCTCTACAAGTAGAGATCGCTGCCAAAAAGCGCACTCGCCATAAAGAAGAAGAGGAAGATAGCGAAGAAGAAGAAGATCAAAAGCGTCGAAGATTGCTCGACGCTCAAATCAGCGAAGCTATGACTAAGGCTGCCTTACAACTCGATCAACAAAATGATGACAAGAGTGACTCTTCAAAAGAAAACCGTCGTCCTACACCTATCCTGATACCTGGCAAATTCGATCATGCTTCATCACCGTCAAGTTCGTTAAGTAGTGCAAGCACAATTCCATTAGATGACGATCGTCTATTGGATAGCCATGAAAAGAGTGTTGCTGAAGAAGCTATTGACCGAATGAGAAAACCAAAGCATGAACAATCTTCTATGGAAATTATGGATTTGCTAACTCGACAAGTGATTACTTTCCAACGTAGGTTTGGCTTTCTAGGTACCCGTAATTCCTCTAGTTCACTCTCAGATAATCTCGAAGATTGTAGCGATGGTCCTGTCACAAGGAGCAATAGGTCTATGCTGGTAGATCGAAATTGGTGATCTTATCTCAGTTTTTCTTATTTATTTTCTGTGTCTTTTTTACCCTCCCTTTTCTTTGTATATACACACTGCTTATTAGAAATAAACAATTCAAAAAAAATATCATTTATTTCTTGTTTGCAATTAAATTCTTTTGTAGGTTGGCCCATTGCATGCCTCCCATTTGTATCTTACGTCGTGGATGACTTGTTTCTGTTGAGAAGTGTTGTGCTTGTTTAGAGACGTAATCATCACTTACACTTCCCCATTTATCAGGGTTTCGTTCTTCAATAGGTTGGTTGATATTAGTTACTGTATGTTTTGATGGTGACAAGCCACTGTCATTGTTTGTTTCTAATTGTCCTTGACTAGTTTGAGCAAAATCACTCAATTTCAAATGTACACTCTCTACAGGCTTGGTGTTTTGAGTAAGGTCATCAAGTCTTAATGAAATCTGTGGTGCTGATGGTGCAGAGTTACCATTGCTATCAAAATCACTGAGTTTGAGTGGTACGGATGTTGGCTTATCGTACAAGGCAATGGTGGCGCGGATAGGTTGTCGAGTTGTGCTATGCTCACCTGAATCCAAAGAAGCAACAGACATTGGCTTTTCACTTGATCCATTATCCATGGTAAAATCTTTCCAACTCAACGAAATTGTCTGTGGTCCTTGCTTTGGTTCTTCTTGGAAGTCATTTAAGCTAAAGCTGACTTCATGAGGCTTGCGTTGTTGTGGTGTAGGTTGAGTAATTTCAATCTGATTGATGGTGGTGCTCCATGACTTGGTTTCTTCAGCAGCCGAATCCCATGTAGGTGCTTTATTTTCGGGTTCAGATGGTGCCTGCCACTCCTGCTTTGGCTCTTGATACGAAACTGAGGGAGAGCGCTTTAGCTCTTGATGGGATACTACCCGAGAACTCTTTGGTTTTTGATCAGAGACTACAGAAGAATTCTTTAGTTTTGACGGAGCAACTTCGTTCATTGAGGCAAATGATTTCCATCCACTTGTGTTGTCTGAGTCGACTACTTGAAGCTTGTTTTTCCAAGTGTCTTTGACAACTTGCTTTTTGGGTGATTGAACATCATTTAATTGACCCCAGACTGGTTTGTTTTCGTTGGGTTCAGCAGGTACACTTTGAGATCCTTGAGAAGCTGCTGCTGCTGCTGTTGGTTCAGTGTTTCCGTTCCAAGATGGCGTGCTTTCAACAGGCTTCTCTGACTCTTCATTCCAGGAGGAAGAAGGTTCTTCGTTATCTTCTTCGTCTGCAGGCACCTTCAACGCATGCCATGCAGCTACTTTAGCATCTTCTTCTTCTCTACTCATTTTTGGAGGTAGTTTTGTTTTAGGCTTCTTAGGTTCAGGTTCCTTATAATCATCAAGAGCAGCCCATCGATAAACAGGTTTTTCTTCAGAAGCAAAGGATTCATGGGCAGCTTCTGCTACAGCTTCTTTTGCTCCTTCTTTAGAATCTTTAGCAACAGAGGAGTTATTGACAGTCTTTGTCACATCTTCCTTGTTGTTTTGAGCTTCAGCAGATGGTGTAGGTTCTTTGTAGTCGTCAAGAGCGCCCCATTGATGACTAGACTTTTCTTCAACATTGTTTGATTCATTAGGCAGCTTTTCTTCAGCACTAACCGATTCCATGGGCTTCTTGTCCACATTTTCATCTGTCACTGCTAACTGATCGACTTCCTTACTGGCTTTTTCAGTATCAATAGATGGGGTAGATTCTTTATCGTCTTTAGGAGTTTCCCATTGATTATCAGCAGTTTTTGTTGGCTCTTTCTTAGTAACTTCTGTCTCTTTCACTTCGTTATCAGATACTTTGTCAGAAACAAATCGCGTAGGCTCTTCCTCATCTTTAGTCTCATCCGTAATGGGTGATGATTCTTTATCTGTCTTTTCGTCCACCGCTACTAACAAACCCTTTTCTTCTTCCCCGGTCTGTTGACTACGGGAGAAAAATTGTTGATTAGCTGGTACGGATGATTTACCAGAGAGTCTAAGAAGATCTTCTTCTTCATTATCTGAATCATCAGATTGATCGGGCATATCATCAGCCCAGGAAAACCCAGAAGTGATCAGGGTTTTGTTTACTTTTTGCTCTAAAGGCTCTTCTTTCTTATCGGATGATATTTGATCTAAAAATAAACACAATTAGTAAAAACTGTTGTTTCTTTTTTGCATGAAAAATTTGATTATCTTTTTTTTTTTTTTACCTTGTTTCTTTTCTTCTTTCGGTTTTTCTTGTAGATTTTCTTCTTCAGGCTTCTCCAGTTTTACTTTAGCTTCTTTATATTCTTTATATTCTTCTTCTCTTGGATCTTGTTCTTTTGATTCTGTATCATCTACAGGCTTATATTCATTCCAAGCAGCAATTACTTTCTTTGCTTCTTCCGTCTCTGGCACGCCATGATTCCCATTCAGCTCATAATACTCTCTGTACCGATTTGCTTTGCTAAAATTATCCTTGTTATCGAATCCACCACGACGTCGATCATACCCTGAATGATCCTCTGCATCCTCTTCAAATGCACTACGATTCAATCGACCTCTTGTAGGCTTATACGGATCTTGCCAACGCCCATATCTCGAAGCACGAGGGGGTTCAGTTCGATCGACATTCAGAGCAGCCCAACGGCTGCTCATAGCACTTTTGGATGGACCCGCGGTGGCCCAACGACTGGCTTGAGCACCTGTGGGTGTCTCCTTGGCAATGTCTTTGGTCGATTCGTGAGGCGTTTCTTTAATTAAATTCTGAGGCGTGTCCTTAGCAACGTCTTGTGATGTTTCCTTAGTCTCTGGTATCACCTTGTGTGTGGTTGCTAAGATGTCGTTGTCATCTGGATCGTGTTGATCCACTTGGTCTTGGTATGTTAGAGCTTCGTCTTCTTCCACCATATCAGCCCAAGACTCGCTTGTTGGGTTATCACGAAAAGGGTCAGCCATAATAATAATAATAATAAAAAAAAGAGAGAAAGAGAAAAAGGAAGGAGCAAATAGACAAAACTGGGGAGTTTGAAACAAAAGCAATGTTTGTTTGATTTCCCCAAATGGAAAATAAAAGAAAAGCATTGATGTATATATATATATGTATATATTTTATTAAAAACAGGTAAATAAAAGTAGACAAAAAAAAAGCGCGTGTTGCATATATAGAAAAAGAGATTAAAATCCAGATACAAATACAAGTTCTTGGAAGCATTGACCTTCAGTGGAAATCTTTTCATCACCAATGGTAATTTCAGCAGTGGCCTTATCGAGCCATTGATAGATATAAGGCTTCACAATTAAAGATTGAACAAGCTTTCGAATTACATAAGGAATTTCTGCCAAGACATCAATCTTGTCAATCAAATTCTTGACTTCGACTGTCATTTCAATTGTGACATCCTTAGGCTCTTCATTTTCTTTTTTGATTGTTTTTCCCTTCCATGTCAATTGTATACGCTGGGGAATATCATATTCTGTATCTTGATCCTTGATCAAATCAAGTAGCTTAACTGAATTATCAATAGAGACACACACAAGCTCATTGTTCAAGACAAGTGAGCCTTGGTTGATATTGACCGAACCGTATTGCTTGGTGGTTTGGAACTGCATCATACCAATCGAGGCTTTATCGGAATGGAAATTGACAAAGTTCCAGTTGGAAGCAATCAATTGAGGCTGCATGCCTTGAATAGCATGAATAAACATACCTTCACCCTCAACTTCATGGATCTTTTGGTTCACAATAAACGTACCCTTGGCAGCAGCGCGAGGCCAGAACTTGTGTGACACGAAACCGGCAGCTGAAGCCTTGTCTCCTCCCAAGTATGTCTTACCTTCGCCCACCTTGAAACCTTTATCGACACGATCAAAGTCAAGAGACACGACCAATTCAGGATGCGTGATGTTGACTTTGTAAGTCTTCTGAGCAGGGTCTAATTGGATACTAAAGTAGTCTGTCTTGACAGAACGTTTATCAGCTGAAAGTTCAAACTTGCTCATATTGATGTTCTTGAACACATTCGTATTTGATTCAGGGTCATAGAATCGAAAGGTAAATGAAATAGTGGGATTCCAAAGACTTTAAACGTTGACGTTAATGAATCCCCAGTTTTTTTTTAAAAAATATAAACTTACCCAATATTAGAATGAATCAATTGTACAAAAGCAAAAGCACCTTTTTTCGTAGTGACATAAAATACTTGGTTTTCAGTAGAGGAACCTGAAGCCAAAGTCCAGTCAAGATCATGTTCGTCAAGTGCAGTATAAGCTTGGCCATCCTTGATAGTATCAGCAACAGTCTTGATACCTTCTACAGTAGTACCTAAACCGGTGACGTTGGAGACAGTGCTTGTAATTTGAGAAACTAAAAAAAAAGATACATCGTTGAGTTTGAGACATTTGTATAATTTGTACTTACACCAAGAAGACATATTAAATAAGTTATGAAAAAAGAAAAGAAAAAAAAAAGAAACTAAACAATTATTTCTCTCTTTTCGAAACCATTCGCTCATTTAAAATATATTTTTTCGGTCAGATTGTAGGGTTTGCTTCGGTCACACTTTTTTAGGTAAAATACTTTTTTCTTGGTAGTTTTTTTCTCTCTCTCCCGTTTTACTTTTATCAAAAAGAATAAAAAATAACCTATTCTTCAATTGAACCATATCATGCGTTTATTCGAGACATGATCTTGCATAACAAAAAGGTCAAAGTAGAAAGACACAAAAAAGAGAGTCACAACTTGCGCATAAAATGAATGTGGTTTATATACTTTTCGGCACGAACATTCAAGTCATACAAACTCGGATGTTTATTTCACTACTTGAAAAAAAAAGTCCTGTTGTTTTAGGAACAAGTCTATAGTTAGCCATAGGATTAAGAAAGGCTTATTTGATGAAACCTATGTCGTTTAGGACATAAACCACGCAAACAATCTTGACAACACTTGTACAACCTTTAAACTTTGCTTCCTTCTTTACGGACAAGAAAAGCTTAGTAGAAGGAGTCACAAACAAACGTAAACGTCGTCATTGTCAGGTTTGTTGATACATGACCTTTTTTTTGGGCTTCACATGATGTATGTGATACAGCTCATAGAGTCAAAGGGCATTGTATCAAATGTTTGAATAAAGTTGCTAACCAGACCAAAAAAAGAATTCAAAGGCCGTTTCAAGATGTATCATGCATACAATGCTCTTGGATGGTGGTCATTCAAGAAGAACAAGCTGCTCATGAAAAAAACACATTGTACAAAAAGGAAATCTACTATTCCAAATATGAACATAAAGATGTCCATATTTTTTGTAATTCCTCGTTGATTTTTCTCTATTCATCGCTCGAGGCTCCTCCCTTCCTTTTTTTTTTAATTGGATGCACGATAATTTAGTAAGAAATATAGGATTATATTTGGTATATTAGTTTGCCTATTTCATACATGCTGTGACAAAATATACTACCTTTGATCCAATTCACTCAATGCAATGGCACCATTCAACATAACAAAGTCCTATTTAGATCACATTGGTCCATATGGTTTGCAGATTCAAATGAAAAAAATGACATCAAGGTATCATTTGCATTGACAGGGCAATGGGTTGATTTTTTTTTTATCAGCAGATCCATAAAAATGATAACAAGTTGTCTGTGTTATCGAAGTTGGTAGAATGTCACTGCTAATCAAACGAAATAGGTTGAATGCCCGTCCTAAAATACACTTTCTTTTTTTTTTTTTGGTGCCTGAATTCATAAAAAGAAAAAGGTTTATTACTTTTTCATTTTTAGTCGTATGTTATTTACAATTTATATCATAACAAAATAGTCTTTATGAATGGTTCAATTGATCCATTAGGATTGGTTAATAAAAAGGAAAATGTGGATTCCCTTTATTACCTAATAAGCATAGCATTTTCTTTGCTTACGGTGATACCATCTTTTAATTTCAGCTAGAATGGCTCTTGATCTTAAAAGAGCACGTATGGATCATATGCATGCGTATCGATAAACAAACTGTCTATCTTACCATGGGTTTTTATGGGTTACTATTTCTATATCTTGGCATTGGGCTGTTTTTTAATAAAATAAAAGCGCTAAACTCAATGTATCTATTGATGATTTCAATCCAGCCTCATGGGACATATCCCAAAATTTGACACCTAAGAAAAAAAAAAGGCTTCTGACAAGATCTCCGCTCCGTACCTTTTTTAATGTGGCTGACTCGTACGATTTTTTCTCACTTGAACCTTAAATTCTGTCCCACTCGTACACAGCAGAAAGTGTATAAGTTTGTTTCATATAATATATGAAAGAATTCTAATTAATTAAAGGTATATTTGTTTATTTATATGTAATTTTTAGATATTTTTTTAAAAAAAAACAAAAAGAAAAGGTTTTTTTTGTGTATGTATGTAAAAAAAAAAAGAGAGTATGTAGAACATATGTAAATATATATATAAAAAGAGAGAAAGGGAATGGGGTATGAATATACAATCATATTATTAAAAGGTTGTAATACAAAATAAAGAGAGAATAAATAAAACAATTAAGCAAGGTAGTTATCGTCACCATCAAACCAGCCTAATTGACCAAACGCAGTCCAAAGAGCGCTGGTCTTATTGACATCCACTCGACACAACTTTTGTGCAACGGATTTTGTGAATGGAATTTGTTGAATTTTTAAGGTACGGGCAGCCAAGATAAGTGTACGTTTACAACGAAGGTATTGTACAGGAGAAAGACGCAACACGGAAGCCATTGTGGCTTCTACATGATGTAAAGCATGGTAATAAGGTTGTTGATGAATTGGAAGAGGTGCGCCTAATCAATTACAATTTAGAAAGAAAGTGAGTTTAGGGTTAAAGTTTACCTTTCCAAGAGACCTTTACGGGAACTTGATCAAGGGCTTCACCAAGTGGTACCCAGCCTTGAGGATAAAAATCTTGGTCATGGCTATCAATATCAATTGAATCGAATGCCAATGCAGCATCTTTACCAGAAGGCAAGACAGACGAAACGCGTTTTCTTTTTGTTGGAGGCATGAATTCATGGTGAGCGGACATGATAGCCAACGTTCTCTTTTTAGTATGTGGCACGACAGTTTCGTCCGACCTAGTACAGCTTTTTTCTTTTACTACGAGTGATTTGTTCTTGATGAATAGATCCCGGTAGACATTTAATGCAAACATTTTTTCATTGCCAGGATTCATGCAATTGTCTTTTCTAAGGTAAGGCACCATGCGAGAATAGGATTGAATGAATTGCTTTCTATTCTTGGGTCTATAATTCCAACTAAGAGGCTGATTCATAGCAACCGTAGGTGGTGATAAGCCAACAGGATGCGGTTGATGGACTTCTGTAGGTGTCAAAGGAGGTGACATCAAGGATTCCGTTTTTGTATGTTGATGCTTCACCTTTAATTCTTCTTCTTTATCATAAGGATGATAGATTTGATCATGAGCATAAGTATCTTGCATGATGCGTAAAGAATTCATTTTTAGAATAAGCGAGAAAGAGAGAGAGAGAGAGAGAAAGGGGGAAAAAAAACAGGATCATTAAAATACCAAAAAAAAAAGTCAGAAGTTAAGTCGCTTTTTTTTTCTTGCACCACGCAAATGAGGGATGCATCCCGATACGCAGTCGGTCTTGGAAAACATATAGACACAAGCCAAACAGAGAACAAGAAAAGAAAGCAAACTTTTTTTCCTTTGTTTTACTTTTACTCTTTTATACTCATTGTCTTCTCTTGATTGACTATATCATAGACAGTTGTAATAAAAAAAAAAAGAAAAGAAAAAAAAAAGAAACAAAACGTCATTCCTTGTTGAAACTCAGTAGGGGTAACATGACTTGCTTGTATAGATTGGGAAGGATCACAGGAACTAGTTTTTTTTTTTTTTTTTTTGGTTTTTGTGTCTCAAGAGTATATAGAGTGTTGATCTATTCATTCATATAAGCTTCAATTCTCTTGATTGTACTACAGCTTGAACATTCTTGTTGATTTGTATCAAACAAAATGCACTGACATTCATTCTACTTCACTAAATTCGGTTTAATTAACATTTGACTATGTGTTTCGTGACTCTATTACAAGTAGTACAGTGTCTGTGGTTTATTTTATTTTTTTATTATATTTTATTTTACTATGCAGAAATCGGGCTTTGAATATCATATCCCCCCTTTTTTTATTCATGGAAGACGACGCCAAAGAACTTGCTATCAACAAATTAGCTGAATTACTTAAACATCCAGATGATCTAAACACAAAGCTAGCTCCACTTACCAGAAAACTAGCCAAAGAAAAAGCTTCAATTGATGCTCAGTTAAATACAGGTGTTCAATCTCAACTTGATCATGTCCAAGAAGGTTTAGAGACACTGACCATCTCGAGTCGAAACATAAACCGTGTCAAGGACAATATGCGTAATATTGATAAACTATGCTATGATGCACAGTCTATGATAAAAGACTTTCCTCGTATCAATATGGTAGCTTAGATCTTCATATTCGAGCATAGGACTGATTCTATTCTAGATTTCGCAAGTCCATCAACATTTTGTAGCGACTCAAGCCAAAGTGAAAGCATTTCAAGCATTGTATCAACAGCTAGATGACTTGGAAGAGGCATTTGCACCTATGCGCCATGATATTTTTCATCCTCATGATGCTTTATTGCATGTACATTATCATCTCTTTAAGCTGGAAGAATTTCGCGACAAGACCATGCACCAAGCAAGAGATTCACCTCACGATGCAGTCATTACCTTAAAGACCTATTTTAGACGTGTTGATGTACTTTCGGATGATTTCACGCAACATTTATGGTTATTGACACGCCATTTGGTTGATTTGATTGACCATGACTGTGGTGCTACCATTATTAAACTCATCAAGATCATCGAATGTGAAGAAGCAGCAGACGAAAAAGCATTAGCAGCCAAACAAGCCCAATTCAATCACCAGGACTTACAGGGACACAAGAAATGGCGTCTTGCAGAAGGTAATCCACGTACAATCAAATCCTATCGTGTCGAGTTCTTTGAACAGCTTCATCAGTCCTTACAAGACCGTTTTGAACAAGTGTTTCTGCCCTATAAAGAACAAGAAGATTGGTCAAGTGCATTAGATGCCACTGAATTTATCTTTGATGAACTCGAATTAGTCTATGATGAAATTGTACCGAAATTCCCCAAGAAATACAAGATATTCCCGTATTTTGTACTTGAGTATCATCGACATACCTATGATCTCTTGAATCAAATGGTACAGCAAGATTTAGATGCAGGCACCATGTTGCGTCTACTGCGGTTTGTACGAGACTATTATACTACCATGAGCACACGATTGGGCGTGACGGAAGAACTGCTTGAACCCCAATTACTTGATGGACAGGAACAATCCTTGGTTGACGAATACCTTAAACTTGTTCGACGCAAATTAGTCGAATGGACATCGAATTTGATGCAATCTGAATCCCAAAAGTTTGTGAACCGAAAAGAGCCGCCTGAAATGGCTCAAGATGGTCAATTTGGTCTTTCAGGGGCTGTGGATCTATTCCAGATCATCAACCAGCAAATTGATGTGGCAGCCGATGCCAATCAAGGCAAACTGCTTTATCTTGTGATTCATGAATGCCATAAAGTCATGAAAGACGCACAGAGTTTCTGGAAGCGATTGCTACAAACAGAACTCCAAAAACAACTCGAGCAACCTGAAGATGCACCTGAAGGATTTGTGGAATACGTAATGGCCTTAGCCAACGATCAAATCAAATGCTCCGATTTTGCCAATGATATCTTGATGCGTGTACCTCCCATTGTAGATGCCAATTACAAGACGCAAGTGGAAGATAAACTGTCGACTGCGATTGATGGCTATCTCCAGATTGCTGCGAGTGCAAGAGAAGCCCTTTTAGAAGTCACGTTTGGTGATATCAAACCCGTCTTTAGTGATTTGTTTACGACACGCTGGTATGCTCAGCCTTTGATTCCCTCTGTGATTGAAACACTGCGCGATTACTGCAATGATTTTGGTCATTTGAATGCGTTTATTTTTGAGAAATTGATTCGTGATATGCTGGATCGGTTTTTGATGCTGTATCTCGAAGCCATGCGACACAAATCAGCCAAGTTCCATATGCCTGCTTGTCTTGAAAAAGTCGAGAATGATGTGCGTCTGTCTTTCCAGTTCTTTGTGGAGTACACGTCTGTCAAAGAAATGGAAGAACGCTTTGATGTGATTGAAAAGGTCCATAAGTTATTGGAATCCAATCGACGTATGATCTTTGTGGACTATTACAACCTCAGACAAGCGTATCCTGATGTACCCTTAGCATTTGTTGAGAATATCTTGTCAAAGCGTGATGATCTCGATAAATCAGCGCTTAAGGATATCATGGAAGGCATTAAAGCCAAAGCCCGAGAATACGAACCTGATGCCAATACCCCTCCTACCATTTTCAGTCGTATTAAATGGTAAAGTCCGCTTTATTTTTTTTTACTATTTTTTGGGATGACTTTCTTCTTTCTGTTGTAACAATATGTCGTTTGATAAAGATAAAGAAAATGGTGCAATAAATAGTACTAGTTTATATAATCATGCTTTGCATCCCATGTACAGTTCTAATAATTCGCCTTATAATACGTCACCAGCATCTTCTCCATCTGTAGGCAATTACATTATGCCATTGTATAATAATACTACTACTACTGCTTCAGCTAATAACGGATCATTTGGAAGTCGTTATTCTCTTAATTTACAACAGCAACAACAACAACAACAACAACAACAACAACAGCAGCAGCAACAACAACAACAACAACAACAACAACAACAACAACAACAGCAGCAGCAACAGCAACAGCAACAGCAACAGCAGAATCCAAACTTGATGGGTACACACACACCTACTGACGTGTCGGTTTCTCCTAACGCTACACCCCATTTAGCTCGTCAACTCACGTACGCTCAAATTTCTCGACAGTCCTCCTCTCCTCACCACCACGCGCGTGCAGCAGCAGCCATGGCACGCAATACACCTGTTGCCTCCACTGTGACTATCACAGACCCCAATGATCCCAATAAGTCATTCAATAACCAAAGTCGCGGTGGCTATCGAAAAAAGGAGGAATCAGAACATGTATGGACTTCTCTTGATATGGGTGGTATGGGACTCAAGAACATTGCACCTACTATCTGTAGCTACCATTTCTTGACGGCACTCTATATCAACCATAACAATCTGACCTACTTGATGCCTTCTTTGTCTCAACTCACCAACCTTAAAATTCTCGATGTCTCTGGTAACAAACTCAGTATGTTGCCTCCTGAACTAGGTCTCCTTTGTAACCTAAGAGAATTGCTTTTGTTTGATAATCATTTGGTCTCTTTGCCTACAGAGCTTGGTAACTTGTACCAGTTGGAGACACTCGGATTAGAAGGAAATCCACTTCAGGCAGATCTCAAGAATATCTTGATCAAAGATGGTACACAGGCATTGATCATGTCTCTTCGCGAAAATGCACCAGGTATAAATAGAGTTTTAGGGAGATTGTAAATGGCTTAACCTAGATTTTGAATATAGTGGGTATGCCACCTCCTCACCGAGAATGGTTATTGGTAGAAGGCGATACTATGGAAGATCCAGGTATAGTCCATAGTCATCTATTGACGTTTCTCTCATCCTCTCCTCCTTCCCTTATAGACAAGTTCACTGTGTTGTGCTACAACACACTTTGTCAGAAATATGCAACACCTCAAGCGTATGGTTACACGCCATCATGGGCATTAAACTGGGATTATCGAAAAGAATTACTTGTAGCAGAAGTTTTGGGTTATAATGCAGATATCATCTGTCTTCAGGTAAAAACTGAACATTTATCAGTTTATCACTACTGACAAGCGAGCATAGGAAATGGAAATGGGTTCTTATGAGGATTACTTTAAAGATCATTTCAAAAAGATGGGTGATTATGAAAGTGTCTTTATTGCAAAGACTCGCGCAAAGACCATGTCAGAAAAAGAACGCCGTGTTGTTGATGGTTGTGCTACTTTTTATAAATCGACTAGGTATAGAATCCACTCAGCTTCTGGTGTGTTAACCCTATCATCTATAGGTTCCAATTGATAGATCATGAATTGGTTGAATACAATCAAAAAGCACTACAACGACCTGATTTTAAGCAAACAGTTGATATTTATAACCGTGTGATGAACAAGGACAATGTAGCTACATTGACTGTCTTTCAAGACAAGAACACACTTCAACGTATCCTTGTGGCCAACACACACATTCATTGGGATCCTTCTGATGCTGATGTCAAACTAGTCCAGGTCGGTGTCTTGATGGACGAAATGCAAAAACTCGGTTCCAAACATTTATCTCCCGTCAAAGGCACTGGACCTACCTATGCCTCTGTTGCCCAGTTACCCACCTTAATCTGTGGTGATTTCAACTCGGTTCCTGAATCAGGCGTATATGAGTTCTTTAGTAAAGGCAATATCCAACAGGATCATGATGATTTTGGTGATCATTCGTATGGCACATATACCACTGAAGGATTATCACATCCTCTTTCACTCAAGAGTTCATACAGCCATATAGGTGAATTGCCCTTTACAAACTATACGCCTGGATTTAAAGGTGTTTTAGATTATGCTTGGTATACAATGAACACATTAGATATCATTTCTCTTTTAGGCCCTATTGATAGTGATTATCTATCCAAAGTGGTTGGGTTTCCTAATGCACACTTTCCCTCAGAGTAAGTATGCTTCATGCTAAATCAAATTAACGCAGTTTTGTAGTCATATTGCTATCATGGCAGAAATGAAATACAAGGCTCAAAACAATCGAAAGGAGCCAGTCAAGGCTGATTTCAATTCTACAAAAAATAACAATAGAACAAAATAAAACTGATATTTAAACGGAGAACATATGCCTAAAAAGAAAAAAAAAACACAATCAAAACAACTAAGGTTTTTAAATGACCGCATAAGATAATCGTTGATAGGACGAGACAAAAGAGCTCTTTTTTTCTTTTCTCATATCTCTTTCTTTCTTCAAAAAAAAAAAAAAAAATGGCAGGCCACCACCGCCCAGCACGCACCAACTCTTCAAGTTCTGTTTCTTCTTCTAACGTAGTGGGTGTTCACTATAAAGTTGGAAGAAAAATAGGTGAAGGAAGTTTTGGTATTATTTATGAAGGTAAGTTTGAATTATCCTTTTGACTTTACTTATCTGTTTTTTATAGGTATCAACCTGATGAATAACCAACAAGTGGCTATCAAATTTGAGTCTCGAAAATCAGACGCACCTCAACTGAGAGATGAATATCGAACATATAAAGTGTTGGCTGGCATAAGTAATAGAAAAGCGTGTTTGTTTTGGTTTTTTTTTTTAACTTAATGCTAAATGGGTTAGGTGGTATTCCAAGTGCATATTATTTTGGTCAAGAAGGTCTACATAGTATTCTGGTGATTGATATCCTAGGACCTAGTCTAGAAGACTTGTTTGATATGTGTTCTCGCAAATTTAGTATAAAGACAGTAGCTATGCTTGCAAAACAAATGGTATACAGATGATTTGATAATGTCTACTTATTTGTTTGTAGATTACCCGTGTTCAATCGATTCATGAACGTAATCTGATTTACCGTGACATCAAGCCCGATAATTTTCTTATTGGTCGACCTAATACAAAGCATGCGAATACCATTTACCTTATTGATTTTGGTATGGCCAAACTATACCGTGATCCAAAGACAAAGCAACATATTCCTTACCGTGAAAGAAAAAGTCTGTCTGGTACTGCTCGTTATATGAGTATCAATACACATTTAGGACGCGGTAAAGCAACCAAGATTCATGATAGCGTTGCTCATATTTCTTTAGAACAATCCAGACGTGATGATTTAGAGTCCCTAGGTCATGTCTTTATGTACTTCTTGAGAGGTTTCTTACCTTGGCAAGGACTTAAGGCTGCTACCAATAAGCAGAAATATGAGAGAATTGGTGAAAGGAAACAGACGACGGATATTAAAGATTTATGTGAAGGCTTCCCTGGTAATGTGTTCCTAGACACACAAAAAGGGAACTCATTTTTATTTATTTGTATATATATATATATAGAGGAGTTTGGTCTTTACTTGCAATATGCTCGTCGACTTGATTTTGAAGAAACTCCAAATTACGAATACTTGAAAGATCTGTTTGACAAGGTCTTAAACGCACTAGGTGAAACAGACGATGGTGTTTATGACTGGATGTTGTTGAATGATGGCAAAGGATGGGAGGTAAATCAAGCCAAGTCTATGTTGCAATTACTTATCTATTCTCTCTCTCTCTCTCTCTCTATATATATATATATATATATATATAGCATCGATTCAACACTCACCGAAGTGGATATCGCCAGAATGCTGTTACAGCACTAAATAATGCAGTCTCAAGTGATCGCCCATCAAGACAGCAAAAGCAACAACGTCGACTATCTAACAAACGATACGCGAATGGCCAACAACCTTATCGTTCTGCTCAGGCAATGCTGAGTGATGCCGCCATGGCTAACTACCGTACTATGGATTCAACACATACATTGTTACAACAACAGCAACAACAGCAAGGTGATTTATTAGAGGATCAAAAAAGAGGATTTTTATCCAGATGCCTTGGAAGTTTTTGTTCTTGCTTATAACCCCCTCCCCCCCCTTCCTCATTTATTATTATCAGTTAATAATATACCTTTATTTATACATATTGTTTCTGTAAGATACTTTAATAAAACTCTCTTCAAAGTACGTGTGTGATGAATTGGCATAGTAATACGTCTCTTTTACTGTCTTATGTTTGGGAAATACAGTATTCTATACTCTGATCGACGAGGAATCAAAATAACTGCTTTGTTTGCATAAGCCATTTAGTACACTTTATTGTGGAAAAAATTAAATTCTAGAAATTAAGCAGAATATGAAATACATAAATAATATATATATCGTTACTTACACTAAATGGCTTTTGAATCATGATACCTAAGTTTGAATGACAAAAAACTTGGCTAATTTTTATTTCAGATCAGCGTATAATATGGAACCAAGCAACCATACATACAGAATTTTGTCTTTTTCTTAAGCAAATGAAGGGAGCTTGAAACCTGTTTATGCACACATAAATGCTAATTTATGAGGAACTTTTGACGTTGATTTCGACCAAAAAAAACGACTTGTAAAAATTGACCAAAAATAGCCTTTGACCAAAGAGTACTAGTCATGAAAATGACTCATTTGACAACTTTGGATTTTCTTTTTGACGCTACAAGATGAAAAATAGAGCTATTGACAAATCAAGTACTCAAAATGACCGCCAAAGGCTGTAGTTTTTGATCAATATGTTTAATTGCCAAATGTACTATCAAAGTGGTATGATAGAAACAAAAAACCTTGTGATCATTTTTGTCTATTTGCTCATTATTTTAGCAGTAAGTTAAATAATTTCTTTATATTGATAGATTTAATAATCAAAGCTATACAACTTTTGTCACTGTACCAAAGCCCAATAAGTGCGTCTTCATGTAGTTCTCAGCAAAGACTCGACTTTTTTTAATGATTTTATTTGCCGCACGTATTAGTGGTCTTGAGAGGGACCCACTAAAAGAGGTGCTCAACAATTATTTATTATAAGAGGGTTGATAGAAACAAAAAGGGTACTACAATTTTGAAAGTACAAAGAAATCAAGGGAAAAAAGGAGCAGCTGTTGCGAGGAGAAGCATCTCAAGGTGAAAGGTCATTCTCAGCGGCTATTCGCTTAATTTGATATCGAGTGCTATGAAGGACAGAGAGGTAGTGGAACTGATGATTCTGCATGATATGAGCCCAATGGGCCTCCCAGATCTCAGAGACACCGATCAAGGTTACCATGGATACTAAAAGAGGACAGTTGGTTTGAGACCGAATCCGAGAAAAATTGAAGGATGCAAGTGCATCTGAAACTAGATCCAGAGAGGTGCCTGGCCACAAAAACTCTCTGATCAAGGTATCCCAGAACAGAAATTTTTTGGGGCAGTGAAAGAAGAAATGATACACCGTTTCCTGATCACTACACAAAATGCAGGCAGCAGCGGGAAAGCGAGCAGGAAAAACCTTGGATAGAAGCAAGCGAGTGGGAATCTTGTGCCAGAAATCGATACATCGCGTTTCTTTGCACGGTTGTAATTGGCGTGCGCCAAAAGTACTTCCAAGCCGCAGAAGAAACCTCTTGCCGGGCAACAAAATCAGACAAGGAAGATAGTGTAATGACCTTACGGAAAGTATGGTCATCATTTTTGAGAGCAACAAGATTTGCGTTGTCAAATGGCAGTTTTAGCGTACGCACAAAGAAAGAGAAAACAAGAGACCGCTGTATTGCAGGAACATGCACAGGTTTGTATAGGTCTAATGAAGTACGAACAAGGCATTGACAAAAAAATGGTTCCAGTTGACGATGGTTTTGATTTACTGCTTGAAATTATTTTCTAACACTAGAATTGGGATCAAGAAGCTTCGGTATTGTCTGCTGAATTGATCTATCTTCTCTCCAGAATTTCCCTGCTTTGAGATGTTCTATTTCGGCACATTCATCCTGCAAAATAGTAATCATTTTTTCAACCTTCGGCAAAAGAAATGATAAAATGGATGTATTTTTATGATCTCGTAAGATTATGTTGCGTTTGGATTGAGGCTTTTTCAGAGATTTGGATTGCCAGTTGTTACGCTCAATTTGGAAGGATCGAGTAAAATTTTTACTTGTTTTTTCAAATCATCTCAGAGAAATTGTACTGAGGAGCAATCAGGATCTAAAAGGTTGGTATTTTCCATGTATTGTTCAATGTGTGCTGTCAAACCGCTTCTGTATGTGGATAGTTGGGCAAGGTTAGGGCTACCTTTCCAAGGGCCACGTCCAGATGGGGTGTGTACCAGTTGATAGTTGATGGAAAGCAAGGCATGGTCAGTCCAACTGTAGTTGACGAAACTTTGAGTCATAGAAATTACATTTTTAGCATAAGATTGGATGCAAAATATACAATCAATATGTGTGCGACTACCAGTAGTACTAACAAATGTGGGAAGAGGATCACTTTGAAAGCAACCTTGAAATGAAGTAAATAGTAGATTATTTCAGCACGGATCAATATTGAATTTACAATAAATGTCATAGTTGAAATCGCCAGCAATAATGATAGGCAAGAACATCGACTGTGAATGTGATATTAAGGAATGATTGGTGAATAACGTGCGAAAGAATGAGGAACGACTATTACGCTGAGCAGGAGCATAGATATTGAGGATGTACATAAAAGGAGCGGAGGTTTCAGTGGCATGAGCGATGGACGCTAAGAGAAAGCAGCCATCCATAGAATTGATGGTGGGATGTGCTGTGATTTGGTAATGAGATTTTAAGGAAATAATGCCACAATGTTCTGTCCAAAGGCTGGATTTAATCTGGAACTTGAGATTGAGCTGTTTCTGTATTTCAAGTGTAGATGCGTGTGTTTCTTGTAAGCTTAGAATGTCATATTTAGTTGAACATAGAAAACGGATGAACAAGGACTGTTGTAAGGATCTGTAGTTTTGGTGAGGCCATGACAATTAAGTGTGGCAATTCGCATAGAGTCTTTGAGCATGGATTAACTTATTGAAAATTAGGTACCACTCTTTGTCTCATCTTAATGGTTAAATTTAATCTTTTTACAATCCTGCATAAGCTTTTCTAAATCCTATGACTCTTGGGTAGGATTATTGCTTAGAATATTTGGGAGATATTCATCATCCTCTCCGTCTGATTCAATGATTTCTACTTCACTACCCCTTGCTCTTTCATTTCATGGTCTATCAATTCAGGTTCGACTAATGGAGTGCCATTGAAGAGAGTTTGAGTAGCCTCTGTTGCTATTTGATTAAGAGAAGCGGTAGTCAATGCGGCAGGAGAGACGGTTTGCTTAGGCTTCACACTTTGTAACAGTTTCTCATTAGGTGGATTGGGGCCTGTTCTACTAGTCTTGTCTTTTGTGATTCCAATACGCTTGTTAGGAGGGTGACCTGATCTATGATTACGACAAGGATAATCATGGCTGATATGATCACGCTCATTACAGTTATAACAACGACGAGTATTGATGAGTTTCACGCAGTCTGCTCTACAATGGTCGGATTTCTGGCAAAAACGACAAAATTGGGGCATTTCATCCCACGTAAACAGAAGTTCTCGATCAAATTCAGACCAATCCACTACTCGACCAAGTTGCTCAGGCTCAGTCTTGTGAGGATTGTTCAGATCAACAACGATATATCCCTGGCCAAAAAATACAGCACCGTCCATATGAAATGCCAGATCCAGGATTTCACCAAAATGGAAAAACGCTTTTTCATTTGCTCAACCTTAACTCGAGCAATTTTGGCGTTTTGAGGCAAGCTGCGGTAGCCTTTGATAGCCGTATTATCTTCCATCTGCAAACCGGAGTTGACCAATTTATTGTACACTTCTGAGTTGATATCCCAGCATGCTTCAATAAAGCATCTCTGCAAATACTTGCGCTCAACAAGTAAAGTGCCAAAGAAATAACACTTTTCATTTGTATTGAGTGACCCAAAAAACTGTTTAAGGCCATTCATATAACGAATATTAGTGATATCAATCAAAACGCTATCTTTTTCTAAACCGACAAATATAAGGCGTAATGGTGCCTGAAGAAAGGGTGTTGTTACTAGCATACTTTGACTGGGAAAAACCAGAAGTGCGTGCAGATGAAGAAGTAGAAGCCAATGATAACGACTGATTAGCAGACACAATAATTCTAGCCGCTACTTGCAACCAGGCTTTAGGTGCATTTTCGTTGTTACGACGCCCTTTAGAGGATGTCATGTTGTGGGTTGGGTTGTTAGGTGAAAGAACCATGAAAACTCGATTTTTCATGCGGCTGGATGAATTAGAATCGATTTATTTTAATTTCCAACGCACAGCCATTCTGCATGTCCTATATCCATTTACCTCGCCTTTGCATTATACAATACCTACCTTTCTATTTCACTATGTTCTTTGGCACTAAACATAGCATATAAATGTTTTTAGAAGCTAATTTATAATCATTTTGTATGACATGTAGAGCAAAAATGCTCAAAAATACTCAAAACACAGCTTAAATGCACTAATCTTTGACGCCTTCTTACTTGACAGCTACATTATCAAATCAGTCTGTTTTTTTTTTCATTTAAAATATGTTCTTTTGAGCCCAGGAATCGAAAGGTATTATTGGTTTAGCACTTGGATGAAATTTGTTTTTTTTTTTTTTCGTGAAGATGAATAAAAAACAAAACTCAATCAGAAATCTTTAGAATGGCACGATGTAGGTCTGATCCAACCTTCGACTCTTTTGAAAATCTCATTCCTTATTGTCCTTGGAAATGAACCATTTTGATTGAAGTCCTCATCTGCTTCTATCCACAGATGTATTTTTCAGCTGATATGGCTTACCACCTACTCTGTCTCAAATCCTGTCCTCCTTTTCTACCATCTGACAGGCGTCTCCTTACTGTTCTATCTGTCTGCCAATGGCAAATATGGTCCGCTTACTGGCGTTTCGCATTGGACAATCAACCTTTTAACCTTGAGTGGATTATTTCGAACATTATTAGTCAGACTTTGATCTCAGTACACCAGCATTCTTTATTCGTAAACACTTTCTAAATCGTTCAATGATTACTTATACGCTCCTTTTTTTTTCAGTCTGTCCACGTTACACCCCTCTGTGATGTGTAACTAAAAAAAACATAGCTTGAATAAAAAAAAATTGATCCAACTGAAATCAAGTAAGCCCATCTTCAAGTACTTCTGATGAAAAGAAAGCGAGTTTATTAAGATGAAAATGTCGACTTAATTTGAGCATTGCCTTCAAATCTGCAATCAAAGTTTGTAATACACTGTGAAGGATACAAGAAAAACCCTTTTCAGTTGATATTGCTTAATAAATAGATACTTATTTATACATTGTTCAATGCGTAGAATACAGACGAGCAAGTTATACCATAAAACGTTGCACTTTTAAGCTCAAATGAACAGCTTCGGTCACGACAAATAATGAAGGCCTTATAGTAGATATTCTCTGCTTTGAAGACCATTTTGTCTTCTTTTTATCAAGCAACTCGGCCCCCTTATGATAGTTTCATTGTGCCAGCACTGATCTGTATGATCTCAATCAAACATGGTACAAACAATTTCGTTATATATTATAGTTTTATCATCATCAGTAGAGATATTGTAGCTCTTAGTTTTTCTCATCTTACTCAAACCTTTTTGAGGAAGGACATCCATTTGCATATGCCGGCACCTATTATTTTGAAATTATGTAGCTCATCCGTAGCACATTTAATCACGAAAAATCAAAGCTTACTTTTTGCGTAAATTGATCAAAGGACTTTATAAAAAAGAAGAAAAAGAATAAAGACTATTTTTTTTAACTTGTGCATTTTGAATATACATGAACAAGGCTCACCTTATTAAATTCTTAAAGAAGACTGAATAAGAAAATGCTATACATATAGACTTCTAAAAAAATCATTATACGTAACATTTAATGAATTTGAAACACATTGCTTTTTATATCATTTGTTTGCGTCAATATGTCTTTTTTTTTTTTGTTAGAGGACTATGCAAATACCTTTTTTTTTATAAGCTTCCAGTTAATCAAAAGCCAAGTTCCACTGCTTATTGAAGAAGAGTGTAGTTGCTCGTATTCAAAAGACCAACTAAAGTCTTGCATTAAAAAGAGATGCGGTTGGTCATTCGTGACTGTATTTGTTGCGCATTGTTTGCCAAACAATAAGTTCCACCTCTGACAATTAAACTTACTTCTTTTTCCTTTTCACTGCTTCAATGAGCACCATCCCTCCTCAACCTACACTAGTTAGAAAAAATACGCCCCCTTTATCTCCAGGAAGGCTAAGAGTATGTATTTGATAATATGCAACTAAACTTATAAGTTCAATAGATAACCATAAAGAATTGTTTTCTTAATGTACCTGTAAAAAAACCTTATATTACTATCACTTTAGGAGGTAAAGAAAACTAGAGGCCACTCTACTGTCATATTGATATTGCAATACATAGATCAATATCATAAAACTTCTATATCTGAATATTCAGAAGGTGCATGGAATGAAGGATTTGAACTCAAAGTCACCTACCACAACCAATTGTTTGACACAATTCAACTCGACCTTTATGACAGTAATACATTCTTTCTTGACAAACATATTGGAAGAGCCGAAATCCGTCTACGAAACCTTGAAGGCATGCCCGATATATTTACCAGCTATTACGAAGTGTTTGAAAAACGATTGTCTTTAGGTGCCACATCTCAAGTGAGTCGAAAAATGACATCAGGCGTTGGTGCGATTCAAGCTGAGATTGCATATCATTATCGGACTAGTACTAAATTAAGTCCAACGGATGTCGATCGTTCATCGCCTGCGATGGATTTCTCAGAAATGAATTGGCTTATAGATCAACACAAGCGAGCTTTGTCTTCCTCTTCACTAGACAATGTAGACACAAACCAGAACCAGAATGCTTCGGACTCAGAGATGATTGCAGAGTTCAACCGACATTTAAAAAGTCAGAGAGACAACGAACACATTCAATTTAGAAAAATAGAACAGCATGGCAATTATACTGACACAGACCAAGATTACCCAGATGATAGTACAGAAGAAGAGCAAGAAGAATTGACAACAGAAAACATAAAGCGACCTCTGACGTATTCTGTGTCACGCGCCAGTAGTAGCACAGTCAAAATAGACGATCTACCACCATCAGAAAATATAAATACGGGTGGTATATTAGATACTGTTTCATCCTTTTTTGGCTATACAAAAGAGAACCAGACCAAGACGTCTCGAAAAGAGTTGCTCGTACCAGATGATGATACACTTAAATCATTTCCACTCTTGGATACAATTGGATCATGGACAATGGCAAAGGAAACAAACCAAGTGTTTCGCGCAATTGGGAAGCTACTTATTGCCTTCGTAAGTGGCATTTCAGAGACTATTGTGTTAACGCCATATACATAGGGACAAGGGTTTGAACTCTCGAACCTTCAGATTTTAGCGGGATTCAATGTTGTGGAAAAGTTTTACAGTGACCTGCCTCGAGAACGTACCTGGGATTTGGTAGAAGATATGTCAGAAGTTGAAATGGCATCATATATGTGGAGATATGCAATTGCATCTTATGGCTGGAAAGGACTCAATTTTATTGGTAAAGGCAATGGATATATTTCTGATGCAGTCAGATCTCAATCAGATGCCCTCTCTATCTGCGAACACCTTCAGATCCCAAAAGAAGATTTGTTGGCTTATGAGCTTAGAACAGGGGCTGCTTTTCGGCCTAGTTACTATATCGCAAGAGATAGAAAACTGAACGCTATTGTTTTGAGTATCCGAGGAACAATGGTAAGAAAACGATGATCAACGGTAAACTTACTTGTAACAAAGAGTACGTTTGATACAATGACAGATCTTGTTTGTGAATATGAGCCCTGGAAAGGCGGATTAGTGCATAAAGGAATGAAGGTATGATGAAACAAATGAAACGCTATATATTTAACTTCAAAACAGTCTTCAGCAAACTGGTTCTTTCGAAACGTAGCGCCTAAACTGATTGTCTATATAAACAAGCACTCAACAACTTCGCTTTACATTGTGGGTCATAGTCTGGGTGCATCTACTGCAGCCATTCTGACCATCATGTTACAAGACTATATCAAAGAGTTCAGAAAAGGAACAGACAAAGAATTCAGTATCCATAGTTTTGGCTATGCACCTGCATGTGGATTAAGTTTGAACCTAGCAAACAAATACAAAGTAAAGTTGAACCATGACAGCAAAACTTGTGTTGACACTGAAATAGGATCAAATTCAGTCAATTGTGTTTGCCGATGATTTTGTCAGTAAATTGAGCTATGGATCTATGATGGACGTTAAAGAATTGATTATTGCAGGAGCTGAAGCTGCAAAAGACTTAGGTTTTGGACAGTTGATTTGGTCGACTGAGGTAGACAACGAGGCATGGAAAAAGGCTTTTGAAAGAATATCTGAATGTCGTAAGCGATGCTTAGAAACTATGTCTAATCCAAGAGTAAGTATTACCTTGAAATGCTAGTATTCATGTTTCATTGTAGCTTTATGTAGCAGGAACAGTTTATCAATTCTGGCTGGTAATATTTATTGTTTGACATTTGACTGTTGTCCATTGATAATTTTAATAGGATCCTACACCCAACAATGATTCCCGTATTGTGATTGAAAGAACAACGCCTGAAAAAGTGTCAACTGAACTTATTATTCGCATGTCCATTGTGCTTGATCATTTACCAACCAATTTTGATGTCGCATTCAAAAGAGCAATTGAGTCATTGATGAGCGCCAAAAGAGGTGAAAACAAAGACCAAGAGAGCCTTGATAAGTCTTCTACAAAAGACAAGGCATTTGAATCTGTTGCTGAAATTGGACTCAAAGGAACTACAGAAAGAGGTGGTGGTGAAGGCAATGTTTTGGGTCAAAAAGAAGCACGATAGATACCACTTTCTATAAATAAATTGTAGCAATTACGTACATGCAAATCACAACCTTTTTCAACTGCACAAATCCTTTTCCTGAAGGTGCATGTATAATTTATATATATATATATAATGAAAGATGATTACAATAATATCTATATGTGTAATGAAGCTAATGATATATACAACTATATGTAGCCTGCATTTTGTCTTGGCGGAACTGCTGGCAAGGTTATGATGCTATCGTCCATGTTTCCAGAACATGGTTTTTGTGCTCCATTATCTTCTGTTTTGCTCTGGTAGTTGTTTAACAAGGCAGTCAAGTCTTCACCTCGTTGAAAAGGAGGTAAATGAACACGACGATGATCTGCATTTGCTGAACCTGTCAATGCTCCAATGGCTGTATTAGCATTGCCCATCATAGTCTCAATCACAAAGACAGTATTCATATGGTTTAGGATGTATTCAATCGTATTAATCTTGTGATTCATTTCCAGTAAATCACGGTTTTCATCCTTGTCACGCAAAAGGGTAGGACCAAAAATAACAGCCAAGTTTTTAGAAGTCATCAAGTTTTCCTTGTTTCTTTGTTGAACTCTATGTAGAAAACATAAGAAAAAAGAAAACAGAAACAACTTTACCTGTCCAAATGCTCCATAAGATACTTGAGTGTATTGAAGTTTTCAATAGGTAATGTTTGAATCAATTGAGTCATTGTTTGCAATTGATTCTTGCTATCTGAAATCACTATTTTATAATTAGTATGACATTGTCATTAGCCATTCAACATCTTACTCATAGCATCCATAAATTTAGAGTGTAATTCATAAGTAAAGAGAGGATTAGGTAGCTCTCTAAAGTACTGCTTGAGAACACTAGTGACAGCACAAATATCATTCCATTTCTCTTCGTCGCTTAAATTAGGCATTTCACCCTTCTCGAATGCTTGCTGAATTTGTCTCATTTGTCCCACTCCACCTGATTTACGATAGATGCCTTCATAGTCCATCCCTCTTGCTTCCACAGACTCGATACATTTCTCAACAATCAAAGGAATTTTGCCCTTTTCAGCCTGTACTTGTTTGACTAAATCATTACCAAACATGAGTCGAGCTGTATCACTGTCTGATTTAGTGTCAGAACTTGACTTTCTGTAACATGCTTGTGGAACACTATAAGCGCACTTGGAATGACAAAAGATGCCACATTCTATGAAAATAGAAATGAACACAGAATAATTAATACAACATTGTTTCTTACCTGCGCACTTTAATTCATTCACTCGCCACATTTTCTCTCCGCAAGATTCACATTTACCAGGTCTAAGGAACTTTTGTTGAACAAAATAATGCTTTCCAGCATGTCTTTGTTCAGACTCTTTCTTCTCTGAGGCCTGCTCGAGAGATTTGGAGTCATAAGGTATCGATATGATCTTCTCATCGTTTTTGTTGTTCGTCTTATGCTTGATGGAACCAGTCTTGTTTCTTCTAAATTTGAATAATTTGGGCGCCGCTGAACCGTTAAAACTATCACGTTGTGCTAATTTGGCTGTTTCAGGGGACTTGAGGTCTGGTATGGTATTGGTGTGATTGATGATCCCAATAGATCCAGTAGACAGGTTGCGTCTATGTTTAATATGTGCTGCTTCTGTCGTTTTGTTGTCTTCAGGTGTTGTAAGGAAACTCATGCCAGCAAAGACAGCCTTGGCTTCTTGCTCTTTTTCCATGACACGGCGCGATAAGTCATTATTGAGCTGTGTCAATTCCGCATTCTTGGAATTGAGTAAAATCATATCAGAAATAATGTCATCTCTGCCCTTGATTAATTTGGCATAACTGGTCTTTGCTAATGCCATATCTTTTTGCATTGAGTCCAACTGCTGCTGGTAAGCATGTTGAAGTCTTTCCCAATGCAAGTCTTGGGGCTTTTGACTAGCGAATAACTTTTCAATGTTCTTGGAGTGCTTCTCAAGTTCACTCATAAGGCTGTCTCGTTCCATTCTGAGATCATGACAAATTTGTTCTAAATCAGTTCGTGTTGTGTTTAATTCTTCAATTTCTTCTTTGCTGTAATGAATGAAATCGTGTCCATTAAAGATAGAAGCTTGTTGGTAAAAACTGAGTTCGCTCTTTAATCGGATAATTTGTGTTTCTGCATCACGTCTTGCCTGTACTTCTGTAGCATACAAGTCTTTCACCATATGAAACTCATCAAGTGCGTTTCTACTGATAGTCTAGCCAAATAAAAAAAGAGAACATGAATCAATGAGATTATTATTCATGCTCTTTTTTTATTTACCTTGATCTTGTTGAATTTTCCGGCTACTTCTTTAAGGCGGTTCTTTGTCTCATTTAGTTCTCTTTTAATTTCACGCACTTGAGCTGAATCGTCCAAGCCTTCAATATCAATATTGCCATCCATTGAGGTACGATATGTTTCTTCACTGTTTCTTTGAGTCATTAACATATCATTAAGTGCAGAAATATCGTTTGATTCAACAACGGGTGGTTTGAATGTATCTTCAATATAAGCATTGACAATGGACGTAGTAGAAGAACTTCGAAATCCAGAAAATGTTGGTCGAGCAGGAGCATTAGGTGCTAATTTTCCATTTTCGGCAGTGATGTTCTTACTCTATGGATTCGTCTAAATATAAATGCATAGAGTAAATTGTATTCCTTACATTGTTTCGTTCGTCTCGTCTTTTTAGTTTAAGTTGTTTCCTTGTCTCGTGGCATTTGGTACAATAAATACCCTTACATTGTTTATGAGTTGATTTGAGTAATTAAGCAAATGGCCTACCTTGCTTGTCTGTGTAAAGACCAAGTCATCGATCTTTTTGCTACATTGAATACAGCGGAAACAGCCTGCATGATACGCTTCGTCGCCTATTCAATCAAAAGTAAGTCATAATTCCAATGAAATGATTATTTACTTACCTGTCATGATAGCTTCGTCTTTAATTGTCTTGTGACAAGCACTGCAACTATAGGAACAGTCTTCACAAATAGGACTACCGTCTCTTAGCAACAACAGGTTACTATAACACTCAACAAGTTTTTGACACTTGGCACAACGGAAACTATAGAAAATAGGTTATAGTCTGTCTCTTTTTCTTTTTATTGTACTTTACCACTCAAAGTGCCAAATGCCATCACCAAACTGAACAACTGACCCATCTTCAATAGGCTTTTGGCAACCATGACAGTGGGGATCTTCACACTCTTCCCCTGTTAAGTTTTCTGGGTTATCATAGTAAGAGTCCATTTGTGAATATAGAAAGAAAAGAAAAAGAAAGTTAAGAAAGAAAGAAAGAAAAAATTCCCCTTTTCACAAGCACAAAAGCAGAGAGAGAGAGAGAGGCTGGAATATAAGTAAAATCGTGGCTCAAGATAATAATTAATTCTTGGTGAGGAAAATGAAATCGTGTATATTGAAACCCCATTTAATTATGATTCATCATCAGTTCTGCTACACGTAAAATAGATTTGTCATAACCGTATTGTCCTAACAATTGAAGACCAATGGACTGGCTAAAAGGCACTGTAAGTGCAGGAATACCGACTAAATTGGCCGGCAAAGTCATCACATCGTCAATATACTGTTGTACACCTTCTTTGGAGTTTAATGCGGGTGCTATTGATGTTGCACCAGGCGCCAATAAGATGTCCACTTGCCCAGTATCTGTCTTGTGGAGCAGATTTTGATGTCTAAAGACCTTATTAAATTCATTTCGAATTAAGCTTCGGGCACTTTGAGCTGGTAGAAATAAGGTTTCATATGTTCTAGAAATAGAATTAGACTTCTTGGCTTTTTTTTTTCTCTTAAACATATACCCAGCAGTCAAAACATGCGTTCCTAGCAGTATACGCTTCTGCACTTCATCCCCAAAACCATTGGAGCGTGTGTCCTGATATAACAATTGATCTGCACGATCAGGACTCCGATGACCTGTACAGAAAAGCAATAAATTACAAGGCCTAGAACAATATTAATTAATTATAATTTACCAAAACGTATTCCATCATATCTTGCTAGGTTTGAACTTGCTTCTGCTAATGCGATAATATAGTAGGCAGGTAAGGCGAGTGATAAGTGTGGTATAGAGACAGAAACAATTTCAGCACCCAATTTCTCGAGTTGTTTTATTCCACTACGCCACACTTCAATCACTTGTGGTGAAAGAGAATCCACATAGAATTCTTGTGGAACACCCACTACTAATCCTTCTAAATTGTCTTGAAACCTTGATAAGAATTGTGCATCGTTAAAGTCGAGTTCTGTTCTAAGTCGTTCTGGTATGGAGGTTGGATCTCGGTGGTCATAACAAGAAATAATGTCGTATACATTAGCACAATCAGATACATTTCTTGTCAGGATGCCAACTGTATCTAATGAGTTGGCATAAGCTATTAAACCATGTCGAGAACAACGGCCATAACTAGGTTTAAACCCAACTAGTCCACAATAGGATGCTGGCATTCTAACTGATCCGCCCGTATCTGATCCAAGAGCACTATAGCATGATTGTTAATGAGTTGTGTTGCATGAATCATGTTATTTACGCTGTACACATCTTCATTGCAACACTAGCAGCACTTCCTCCTGAACTACCTCCAGCAGATCGTTGTTCGCCTTTATACATTGGATTTAAAACTGGTCCAAAAGCACTATGAACATTGGCTGATCTACATTGCAAATCAACATGACATATAAAAAAAGGCTTTTTATGCTCACCCCATGCCAAATTCATCCAAATTTGTCTTTCCTACAATTAAGGCGCCTGCATTATCTAGCAATTCTACAACAGTCGCATCATAAGGAGATGTAAAATCTATATGTAAGGGCATAAGCAACATTGCCTCTTTTAGTATGAATGACCTTTTAGCATATTAGAGGCACATGTGGTGGGCAAAAAACTTGTGCAGATATTGTCTTTGACAGCAACTGTCATGCCATCAATTAAACTACGAGACTCGCCTACAGAAAAAAAATGAATTGTATTGTTTTTGACTTGGATTCAATTCTTACCTTGAGATCGCCTTTGGTCTGCTGCTTTGGCCTTTTCCTCGAGTGTCTGTTGGTTATGAAGTGAAATAAACGCGTTGACGTATGGGTTATGACGATCAATATTCTCGAAAGCTTCTTTCAGGGCAAGTGTAGAAGAGTATCGATACTAAACAGAATTAGTGTTTATTTGCCTTTCTCGGTTGTGTTTTACGTTTTTTGATAATTGGACAGTTTTTCTAATAGACCTAGATAGCATGTTTAGAAAAAAAATAACGAATTGACAGGCCCTGTGAAAAGCTCCGGTAGTATCATGCATTGTACCCATTTATTTCATCCAATAAAAATGTTAGAATGAGACTGTTATTCCTGATACTTACTGAGAAGTACAAAGACTCGCTTGATAGATCTTTTCTATAATTTTTGGTCAATGTGCCTTTTAGACAATACAGAGCATTTGAAATTAGATTTGCTTCAATGCTACAAAATGGATACATTAGCATAGGGATAAAAAAGCATAACTTACCAGTCAACTCTATCTCTCTATCCACTAAACACTAGAGATATAGCTTCAATGGATAGGTGGTTCAACTACGTACTACAAGCTTTTTAAGTGTTGGTTGTTTTTTATGTAATATGTGGCTTTCTTAGTTTTTAGGTAGAAACATCATTAGACTAATGCTTTCTCTTTTAGAAGTTATATGCCAAAGTCAATTCCAGTACATCAAATGTCGTCAGACTTACCCTTCATCCAACTGAATAAAAGAGTATAATATGATGTAAAAGCACATAAAAACTAGAATGAAAGAAACAGCGTACTCAAACTTCTTTGTATGCACTGATTGAATCTGTTTATTACTGAACAATGAAATTGAGATCAGATGATTTCAGCCCCTTTGATTTAGTATCAATTGTAGAGAACTGTATACAAATAGAGTTCTGTAATGTAGGGAACTGAAACTTTTGAGTTTGTTATAATTTAAAAGAGTGAATGCAACTTTTTTAAGTTTTTTCATGAAAAATCACGATGGAAACAAGCCAACGTCCAATTTTAGTTTTTTTCATCTTGAGGTTTGCATAATGTATTGAAATCACAAAGAAACAATAAGGTATGCTCTAAAAAGTAGGATGATAAGGTTTCGTACAGGCAAATTACATAATACTGCTTTGTCAGAGTTAAACAAAGCACTCGCTCGATGACTTTGATAGGTTAGCGTATAGTTTTACGACATCATTCAAGGTACAAGGTAATAAGGATGTAACATATACGAGTGTTACCCATTTTAGGAAAATTGAATTGAAACAAAAGTCTGTTTAAAAGTACGTGTAAAGACTCATGATTTTATGCTTTGTATTGCTTTAATATTTATTTGAGTAGGCAAAAATAGCTTAGTAGAAGAATGAAGATGATCTATGGCTAAATGAAAAGAGATAAATATTCTTTGAACACATAAATGCAAATCTGTTTGATTGTGTTGATAGCGTAGTATTGTGGCACTTGATGTTTTACAAGAAGTTTTGAAACAGGTTCTGATAAGAAAAAATATGCGCTTTATTGTAAAAATGTATTAGTGAAAGTCTTAATTGTGCTTTTCCGGAGGTTTCTACTTTTTCTTATTTTTTCGTACTTGTCTGAATGGCCCATTGCTTCCTTGTCTCTTTAAATGTTTTCATGCATTCATGGATTTAATTACAGATGCAGAAAAATTTCTCCCTTTGTGTAATTTATTCTTGATTTGTAAATGTATAAAATGTAACACAGGTGCCTAAAAAGCAACCAAATGTTTTGATTTTATTGCCTTAGATATGTCTGCTTAAAAGAGAATTGAAAAAGAAAACGTATAGAAAATTGACAGGCTACACTAAGAGATAGAAAACAACAAATTTGTATGAGAAATAGTACATTGTACTATTCATACAAGTACAAGAACTCTTGACATGAGTTAGACACCGCATCTTCTGATTATTGTGAGATGTTACTATTACAGTTGTGACTAATCTGTCAACATAATTAAATAGAGAAAATATGTCACTTTGTTTCGTTTTTATATTATAATTTTCTCATGATTACATAGCTTGATTTACATATAAAATAAAGCTGATTGTTTGTTCTTTGTTTTTTTTCTCACTGTTCATTTCGGAGTCGTGCTTTGTGAAAATCTGTGCTACAGTTACTAACACTTTTTTGGTAGAGCTTTCTTATGAACAAATAGAGTAGATCACTTGGTTGCTAGAAGCCATTATTCTTATATATTGGTTTGCTTTCTTTATGCAGTATGCTTTAAAATACCCAACAAAAGAGCATGAAACACAGACGCACAGAGATTGTGTTGACATGTCATAACGTACAGAGTACTTTAACGACATTCTTTCTCTTTCTCTCTCTCTCTTTTTTCATTGTAACATACAATTTATAAATAAATCTAAATTTATGCTAAACCAAAACGAAAATCAATATATTTCACAAGTTCATTCGTAAATGGGTAATAAACATCTTCCCCATACGCTTTTTTTTTTTTGCTGGGTGCATGTATATTTTTTAGAATAAACAGGTATAGCAGTTCATCTACTCATCACAGAACAATGCATTTCTCTCATTGTACACACTGTCCTGCTTGTCATTTAAAATTAATATTCTGTGGGTAATTCACATGCCTCAATTCATTTTCTCTTTCTAGTCACCATCGTGTTCTGTATTCCCTAAAAGAATAGCTCAGATAATTCAGTGTTTAACAAAATGTTACCGTTGACATGAATCATCCAAAAAAAAAATATTGCTTATAAAGAGCATCGGAACAAGTGAGAAAAAGAGAGCTTCTTTTATACTTCAAGATACATTCCTTTTTTTTCTCTAATTGTCTCCACTCTTTTTTTTTTTTTAATCAATAATCATTGATGGCTGATCATACGTATCATACGCATGACTATGCTGTCGTTTCAGATCAGCAAAGTAATGATGGAGAATACCATCCTAATGAAAACAAAAGTATTGACAATCATGACTTGATGGAAGAATACTCTGAAAAACCAACAGCCCCGAGAAAAAGACCAATCTACAAAAGAAAGAAATATTGGATTATTTGTTCTATTATCACTGTGATTGTTATTATTGTCGTTGTTATTTTAGCCTTATATGTATTCTTCCCTATGATTGCTCAGTCCTTGATGAACAAAGCTAAGATTGATGTCAATGCGGCTCAAATCACTTTTACCAAACCAGATGCTCTCAATGGTCTTACTTATAGTAAAAGAGATGGTGATGACATGAATTCAACTTTTTATATGAATATAGAAAGCAGCTTAAGCGACACAGGTCCATTTTCTGCTGATATCAAGTTTCATAATCCCATTGAAGTTCTCTACAAGGATCAAACGTTAGGCTCCATCTATCTGTTTAATGGCACAAGTATTGCTGCTGGTCATGGCTCCTTAAATGCTATCACTCCTTTCTTGATCAAAGATCAAACTGCTTTTGCTTCTTTTGCACAAGACATGTTGGCTGTAGAAACATTCAAATGGACACTCAGAGGAAAACTAGATATTACTGCCCTAACAAGGTAATTGAGAAAAAAAAAAAAACCTTCAAAGTTACATAGATCTGACTTCTTCTCTATAGAACTGCGACTGTAAATCTTGACAAGGAAATTACTTTGAGCGGTATGTTATGCAAATTCGATAGAAAAAATTAGGCTTTTGAAACTAACTATTTCTGAAAACAAAAGGCATGAATGGTTTCCCTAATGTTCGAATTAATTCATTCCAACTTCCAGGTGATGACCCCCACGGTGGTATTCTTGTTGAACTAGGCACTGTCTTGAATAGCCCTTCACCTATTGGTGTTCAATTAGGCACAGTCAATCTTGCTATAGGTTACGATGGTGTTGCTCTCGGTACTGTCAAAGCTGAAAACATCAACTTGCAAAAGGGTGACAACAATATTTTATTAAAAGGGACACTGGTTCCTCAAAATGACTCTACTTCGCTTCAGAAAGTCGGTACACTGTTCTCTAACTATGTATCTGGCAAGTTATCCAACACATCCGCTACAGGCATTTCTGCTGCTCCTGATGGTGTGAGTCCTATCACTTGGCTATCTGAAGGTTTCAAAACAGTGAAGCTGAATGTTGCATTAAGTGCTTCCAAGCCACTCAGGATTATCAATGCTGTTGATATGGGCAAATTAGACTTGAAATTTGATGCTGCTAGTCCATATGCTCCTATTGTCACTGCACCCAACGTTGTTGCAAACTTTCAAATACCATTTGGATTTAGCTTGAATATTACTCAAGTCACTCAAAATATTTCTCTTGCTGTCAACTCCTCCAAAACAGTATCGACTGATTTTGCAGTCATTCAGGTCCCCATGGTTCCAGCTGTTAGTGATCAAAAGTCTGGTACTCTTCAATTTGCATTAAACAACAACGTCATTGCTGGTATTCCTGGAGAAGAAAGTGTCTTTGATAAATATACATATGCTTTGACAGCATCGGACAAATATACTTTTATGGTTTCTGGTAATGCTTCTACCAAAACAAATACACCTATTGGTCCTATCACTCTAGGCGGAATTAGCTTCAGCGTTCCTACTTCTCTTCGAGGCCTCCAATTCTTGAACAGCACCGCTACTGTCATCCATTCTATTGATGTTATTGGTGGGACCTCTGATAATCTCTTGTTATCTATCAACGTTTCCATGACCAACCCTTCTGATTTCAGTATCTCTACTGGAGACGTCAGTTTTATTATGGGTGCCAGTGGTGAAGAACTTGGTTTGGTTACATTAAAAGGTCTCTCTCTGGCTCGTGGCGAAAACACTGTTATGGCGTCTGCTATGTTTAATCCGAAGTCGTCTGATGTTGGTCAAAATTTACTAAGTACATTTGTAATGGGTCAAGATAATGGCGTTGACATCACTGGATACAGCAAATCAACCACAATCGAATCACTTATTGAGCCTTTAAGCGCCGTTAGCCTTAGTTCAACTCTTCCGGGCCTTAAGACAGCTTTGATTCAAGGTGGTGCTTTGTCTATTTTGTCAGAAACTACACAAAATGGCGTTGTGGGTGTTAAAGTATTTCTTGCAAATCCATTCAGTGCCGGTTTATCTATCACTAAAGTCACTGCTGCTGCTACATACAACGGTATGCCTGTTGGAAATATCGACCAAGACATTAGCAGTAACCCATTTATTGTTTCTGGTAAATCAGTAGCTCAGTCTCAACAGCTTAGTATGACGATGAACATTGAACCTGCTTCCATTGCTTTGTTGTTACGTACATTGGCTGTTCAAGCAAATTTGGATACTCGTGCTCTTGATGGGCTACTTGGTTTAGGAGGCTTTAATATTGCTGGTCAAGAAAATGTTCAAGTGGACTCAAGTCTTTTTAAGGATTTTAATATCTCTTCTTATGTCATGGAGGCTATGAAAGCTTTGAAGGTTGACTTGACTCTCTCTTCTGGTTTGACAATTGGCCAATACACTGATGATTTGGCATTCTCTCAATCCAGCGTTGCAATTGCAACAGACAATTCCATCACTTCTTTGATTCCTATTGTTGGTCAGCCTATTGTCCAACAAATTGTGGATGGAGCTGTTCTTGGGTTTGAAAGTATTATTTTGTCAGCACCTACTGAAAATGATTTCACTGTTCAAATGAAAGGTAGTATTACTAAGTCTGGTCCTATGGATGCTACTATTAGTTTCCCATCACCTCTTACTGTTTCATGGCAAGGAAAGACACTTGGTACTGTATCTATGCCAGACATTCAAGCCAAGGCAGACGTGGGTGCCTCCTTTGATGTCACTGGTAGATTCACGATTGCCAACACAGAAGACATGGCTACTTTCTCTTCTTATTTGATCAATAACAAGGACTTTGTGTGGGACATCACTACAAAAGACGTAAGTGCCACTGCTTTAGGTTTCACTTTCACAAAGATTACTATGGAGAAGTTTGTCACTCTTGCTGGTGCTCAAGGATTCAAAGACGCAGTGACTATCAATTCATTTGATTTACCCTCAAATGATCCTGCTGATGGTATCACTCTTACAGCACAAACAACCATCAAAAACCCAAGTCAAGTCGGCTTTAATCTTTCTGGTGTTGCATTTGAATCGTTCTACAAAGGTGTTGATCTCGGCCCACTTGCATCTAACGGCGCAGCTATTTTTCCTCCTCAAGGAACAGCTAGTATTTCTATGAAAGGCCGTTTAATTCCTCAAGATTCTTCTTCTGGCATTGCTGCTATTACAGAAGTGTTTGAAAACTATCTCGACGCAAACAATTCTATTCTTGATGTCAAGGGTGTTTCCGGATCTGGTCCTAATGGTCAAGTCGGCTGGCTTACAACTGCTTTCAAGACATTGACTATTGAAAACGTTGTATTACCTGGCCCAAAGACAAAGCCCAAACTGATTCCTGCCATTACTTTGAAAGACATGCAGCTCGATTTTACCAAAGATGCTTGGGCCCCTCCTACCAGTTCTAATAATGTTCAAGCTCAACTGAAGAGCCCATTTGGTTTCCCTCTTGGCGTCAGCAAGCTTAACATGAAGGTGGTTGCTAACTATCATGGTACTGAGGTTGCATCGCTCGCTATTCCTGATGAGAAGGCCACTACTAGTTCTACTGGCTTGGTTACAACACAGTTCAACAATGTACCATTTAAGGTTATTGACAAGACAGTCTTTACTGGTTTTGTTCAATTGCTAACAATGACAAACAGCGTCACCTTTGATCTACAAGGATTTTCCAATGCAGTAGCAGAAACAGCTGTCGGTGCTCTTAGTCTTAATAACATTGAATTTAATGTGGATACTATGTTGAACGGTAAGCTTTTTTTTTTTTTTTCATTGATAATATCAAAATAGGTTACATATTTATATCTATCTGTAGGTTTCAATAATTTTGGTGGCAAAATCACTCTTCCTACACCCTATGTTGTTGGTGGCACTTCTGGATATACTATCCTTAACTTTAGTTTTGATCTCACGAATCCTTCCAACATCACGATTACAGCTGGCGATATCAATTTCGATATTGTCATGAATGAGTTCAATTCAGTGATTGGTCGCTCTTATCTCAAGGCTGTTATTATTCCTCCGGGCACAAAGACTTTTAGTGGTGAATTGCATTTGGGAGAAAAGTCTACTAATACCAAGGCTATTGAGAAGATCTTTAGTGACTACTTGACTGGCGCCAAAGTCCCTTTAACTATTCAAGGCTCTACTGAATCCACCAAGATTGCTCCGCTTGTTCCTGCTCTATCTTCTGTCAAGCTTGCGACAGAAATGACTGGTATGAATGCCAATCTAATTTCACAAATTGCTGTCAAGGGAAGCATTATTGGCCTCATTCTTTTAAACCAGGCTTCTTCTGCCATCACTCTTAGAAATCCTTTGAAGACTTCTTACTCTATTACAAGAGTACAAGCCTCTGTTGTCTTTAAACCTTCCTCTGGTGCTGCACCATTTACTGTAGGTACTATTGACTACACTCCTCCTAGTGCTGCGACCGTTCCTGCAGGTGGCTCCATAACAACCGATGATTGGCCCGTTAAGATTGTCAGTGGTGGCATTGAACATCTTGGTCAAATGCTAGGTTTGCTGCTTGACCCTAATAAGTACTTTGACGTGCAACAAAATGTGACAGTAGTTGTTGGTGATGGCTATACGACAAACTTGTTTTATTATCAAGACAAGGTTCCCTTTAGTATCTCAATCGATGGTCTTCCTCCTATTGGTATTAGTCCCAATTCGCTTTCTTCATTGAAGCTTCCCTCCAACCTTACATCAATTACTGATCCTAATACATTTGAGCAGGTGCTTAAGGATATTTTGTCTGGTAAATCGCCCACAAGTAGTGTTGCTTCTTCTGTTCCATTATCGTCAATTTCTTTGACTCAAACAACAACTTCTAATGTATCTACTAAGACTACTACAGAAAGCGTCACTGAGGTCACGACTACAGCTACTGACAACTCAGCAACTGTTACAAATACTACTTCTGAAAAAACAGAGATAACAACAGTTGAAGCGACGACAACAATAACAACAACAACAACGAAGACGACTACCACCTCTGAGCCAACAAAAACTACGGATGCAACAATCACTTCTCCAGAAAAAACAGAAGCCGCTACAACAACTAGCAAGCATTGGTGGGATCTGCCTTTTTAATCTTTGATGCTCTACTATAATCCTTTCCCTTCCTTTGTCTCTTTACATAATTTATATATTCTATCGCTTCTATCCATGTATACATATTCATAATTATCCCCTCTTTTTTAAATAAGCCGATGTATAGTTCATCTATTAGTCTTTACGAATAGTAAACAGTCAGTAACCGAACAATTCGGCTTGCCTATCACTTTTTCCTTTGATTATGTAGTAAAGACTCGATTGATTTCTTTAAGTTTAACTACTAGAAAGGAGATTATCTACTCATAGCTAATGATTCGAACCTTATTTCTCAAGTTTCTTATTAGTGTGTGGTTACCATTTTTACTAAATTCATACTGAAGCAATCTTTTTACCTTACTACAGCTTATTTCATTATTAGCACTATAGCTATCTTACATCGTACCTGAAAGCATGATGTATAGATTTTGCTCTTTATTTAAGCCCTTCTTTGGACAAAACGCTTCTGATTCAAATGACTTGGATGTTTTTGAATAGTCTTTTTTACTTTACAATTCTAATGATGAAAGTAAATTTCAAATTGATTTCACCAAATCACTAGTTACTATACTTATAGACAAATACACAAACCATCAATCAATAAAGATTCTGGTAATGTTTCTTAGCTTGAATTATGCTTTTGGTTAATAACCAAACCTTTCTTATTAACTGAATGATAATGTTTACTTTATCATTTCTTTTCAGTGTTTTATTTTATATCTTTCATTACAAAAGAACATTTATAACCGAGCAATTTAAGATTTAATACTAGTTATATACAGGCTTTCCTTAGACTGAATCAACCACTTCAATTGCTCGATTCTATGTCTTAAAACAAAAAAAGTCTATCCTTGTCCATAACATACTCTTGAAATTTTCATACTTTTCATGATTGAAGCTCCGATAAAAAGAAATAATGGCAAAAGATATCGTCGCCTGCAGGATTTGAACCTGCGCAGGCAGAGCCTATATGATTTCTAGTCATACTCCTTAACCACTCGGACAAAGCGACTTCAGATGCTTTGTCATGTGTGCATAATTACTTAAATCATTTTTTATTTTCTTTCGCAGTTTTTATGGTAGTTTTATCATGCTAACTGTTGTGAGATAAAGAGAGAGTAGATATTAAATAAGAGAAAAGGTAAGAACACAGAGAAAATCCGTTAGAACTTGTATAGGTTTTTATTTCTCCAAGAAAATGTTATCTTTCAATTTGTTGTATACACAGCATTATTCATCCCTTCTTACACTAGTTATGCCTTAAAAGAGCAAGTATTAATATCATGTATAAATATATCTTTCAATCACAGTTTTATCCGCAGCTTCGATGGATGTCTTCTATCTTAGTTTAAACATGTTAAAGATCAGACCATCACATAATCACAAATTGACATCTGCATCAATACCAATGGTAGACGAGGTCTGTGCCCTGATCATGTACCCAGTTCTTGTGTACCTTAATCCACTCAACCGATTAGCTAGTGTATACACACTCAGTCCCAAATTAAGGATAATCAATTATCATACAAACAGTATAAATACAATACAAAATATAACCTTTAATAAAGAAGACTTCTTTTGGGCCGTTTTGGTTCTAATCGACTTATTGATTTGACCATTTTATTAGTGATTATATCACACAATTGCTATATGTTGTTGTTGTGATGTAAGAGAGAAGATAAAAACAAAGAAGTCGATTAGAACTTGTATAGGTTTTATTATCCCAAAATATATATCTGTCATTTTCTAGCTCTTCATTCTCTAGGTATTTATATATGAAGAGATGTCGGAGTAAGTAGTAGTAGAGTTCATGCAAATGACTGAGTCTCTATTATCATAGACTACTTTAAATTAATTAAATAATGTAAATTATGGACTTCGGTTATACGTCTTGATCTATTAAAAGATACTTTGTCTTATTCAGTACAAGAGGTTCTTTTATGTCTATTTCTGATGTAAATGGATTATGATATATTTTTAGTATGTAAATGAAGACTTATTTAATGTCAGGTCATCATATGCATATAGATTCTATATGTTCACAACAAATGCTAATGTATTTGTCAGCTCTAACTGTCACTTTATGAGGGCCATTGATAATAACAGAGTCAATAGGTTTATAGTCTCTGTCTATGAGGATGATGTAGTACTTCTAGTAGAATGAGTGAATGTCAGTGACTATAGATCCATTGCAATTGCCATAGATGTGATCTGGTCTTTTGCCATGATCATCATTTATTGATCTATGCATATGAATTCATATATGTTAACAACAAACTGGAATATAAAATATTCGACTTAATTTAATTGAAAGAACAACATACTAACTGGAAATACATTGATCTATTCAGAACTACTGCTTAAACTACTAAGCCGTATTTCACACTCCAGCACCACAAACGTATCATGTTGTAACAAACAAAATCATATATATGCTTACAGTTGATAAAATGTCATGTGATTTTGTCGGACAACGTGTGTTAGTGCGATTTGAATAAGAGATCCGAGGTTGTTACTGAAATACAATGAATTAAAGTAGAAAATAATACTATCCGGTACTCTGGAAACATGTCTAATCGACAATAGTCCCTAAGAAAGAAAGGCAATAATGCATAAGAAATTTGTTTTGGCAAAGATGTGGTCAGTAAGAGGCTCAAAGATATAAATTTGATGTAAAGTATATAAAACAAAAAAGTTACCACAGAAACATACGTGTATGATTTGCAGATATGATCAAGGCGTATCCATTGATACATAAAAAGTGGTAGGTCTACTACTGGGATGTTGAGAAAAATTCAAGAATTCGATTTCGGTTCTTTTTTGTAACATACATCTTTTGCAATATAAATACCTGATATGTATTTTAATACATTCTATAAAGTTTTTTTTTTATTATGCTTCACTACAGTAAACGCCTTGTGTATCATTATTAGAATATCAGCTTTGTAATTTTAGATAAAATTGCTTTCTAGATGAACTGAAAACAAAAGTCATTTTTTTTCTCTACATCCATTTATCATGCAAAAGGGTAATCCTATCAAGAACGTGAGTGCAACTTCAGCGATTGATCTCAAAGCCGAACTGGCTCAACACTTGGATCAATTCGAAAAGACACGATCAAGTCAAGGCAAACAAGTAACAGCGCGTCGACCAGACAAAAAACCTACTGTTTGGTCAAGACAAAACAAGGGCATTCAAGATCGCAGCAAGAATGACACACTGGCATTACCTGCTGTCGAGACCGATGTTCTTGTTCGCAGTCGAGAACAACTAGAGAAAAAAGCTAGATATTACGAAGCTATGCAAGCAGGCGAAATTGAGTTTGATGAAGAAGACGAAGAAAAGATGCCATTGATTGACTTTGATAAAAAGTACATGCAAGAGCGCGAACTAGAAAAAGAACATACAAAGAACAAAAAGAGACGTACCGATAGCCAAGAAGATAGCGATCCATGGGTAGAGATTGAAGACGAGTTTGGACGTACACGTATTGTACGTCAAAGTCAAGTGGGTTCGACAATGAATCCTGAAAAAGAAGAAGAAGAAAAGAGAGAGAAACTACGACCTTTACTGGATTATGAAAAGGCAGATAGATCCAACTTGAATCATTATGAAGCAGATCGAGAAATCAGAACCAAAGGTGTTGGTTTTTATCAGTTTTCGAAAGATGAACAAGAACGTCAGGCCCAAATGGACAAACTTAATAAACTTAGGCAAGAAACAGAACAGGCACGTCAATCTACTGTCTCTGCTGCCAATAAACGCAAGCAAATGATGACACAGAATGCAGCCAAGATTCGTGCTCGAAAAGCTGCTTTACAAGCCAAGAAGCACCCATTGACACCAGACAAAGTACCCACAGTTCAGCCAACAGTCGATGAAGCAAGTGTGACGGATTTCCTTCAATCCATACGTAAAGAATTAGAGTAGCTTTTTTCTTTCTTTTTTATTTCAAATAATGAGCATAGGCTTTTAACAAAGTACGTCGAACAGAATTTGTCTTATTTTCGTATTCGTCTTCCAATACAAATAAAGCATCGCGCATCGTGACTTTACGTGTACCTTGTTCTAATCGATGAGGACGGCCGATGGTCGAAGGAGGCAAAAACAATCCTGCCTCAGATTGTGGTTGTCTATTCGTAAACTGCTTTGTCTTTTTGCCAAGTTCAGCTCCACTCCCTGACTTACGTCTCCTTGGTCTACCTCTTCCTCTTGGTTGTTCATCTGTTTCAAAATGTTGTTGCTGTTGCTGCTGTTGTTGTTGTTGTTGTTGTTGTTGTTGTTGTTGTTGTTGTTGTTGTTGTTGTTGTTGTTGTTGCTGTTGGTGTTGCTGTTGGTGTTGCTGTTGCTGTTGTTGAGGAGGTTGTGGTGCTGGTGGTAATTGGGGCGGTGATGTGACAGTCTCTTTCTTTTCTTTTGGTACAGATGTGTTCATACCCGTCAACATCCAACTCTTCATTACACCACCTGCAATCATCAATGCAGTTTCATTTGTGGTCTTGTTGCGCACATCATCACTCATGTACCTTGCAGTGACACCAGGTCCCATATCTTTCTTTTTCTTCTTTTTCATAGGTCGATCATCATCCTCAGCTTCATCACCCAACATAGCTTTTCGTTCTCTTTCCATCAAAATTTCTTTACGCTTTCGTTCTTCTTCACGCTCAACACGTTCGATTGCTAACAATTGTTTTTTGATATCTTGAATATCCATGATTTTAAATGGATGATGGCCATCTGGATTCATAGGTGGTTGAGTAAATGTTTGTGAATCAACACGATGTTTTGAAGCCATTGTCATATGGACCAAGAGTTGATGAAGACGCTTTTCTGTAGCAAGTGCTATTAATGCAACTACATCAGTGCTTAATTTAAGGTGATTGGTCGAAGCTATAAACAGTGTGAATGCAAAGACCAAAATATATCATAGCTTACTTATTTTGGTTAATATGTCTGCCAACATGTCTGTGTTCATGAAATCTTGGGTCAATGTTTCTGCTTCTGCTACTTCCTCTATAGTTGCTGGTGCTGGTGCTGATGGTGGAGGTGGTGCTGTTACTGGTGCTGCTGTTGGTACTGTTACTGGTACTGGTGACGGTGCTGTTGCTACCGGTGTTGTTGCTGGTAAAGTCGATGATGATGATGATGGTTGTGGAGGAGGTGACGGTTGTACTGGTAATGATTGCATTGGTTGTTGTTGCATTAAATGTTGCTTCATTTGCTGTTGCACTGATTGTGGAGATTGTGGTGCTGTATTGGATCTATAGAGTGGAGGCAATGGTTGTGCGGGTATATCAGATGCTCTTGTTCTTTTAGCTTGGGGTGTTCTGATCAAACCAGACATAGCACGCTGGGCATCTTCAGCGCGTAATTGCGAACTCGATATAGTCTTGTGTGGTATATGAGGCGAGGGTCTATTAGGAGATGGGCGCTGAACTGGTTTACTTTTGAGATTCTCTAATTGCTGATATTGTTGCTGATCCAGCAATTGCTTTGCTTGTGCCAAAAATTGATTAGCAGTAACTGAATTGCTTTGTAGTTGTCTAAAGAGCTCAATGAATCGTTCTTTCCGATCGGAAGAAAGTTGAGCAGTGAGATTGTCTAACAATGTCATAGAGGCAGCTATGGATCCTATTAGAAAAAAAAACCCCCCATCCTCATCTTTTTATAGATACATTACCTGCACTGGCTGGTTGTGCTGGTTGTACTTGCTGTGTCTGTTGTGGCGCAATTGGAATAGGCTGTTGTGATGGGGAAGAATGGACAGAAGATGAAGGTGCTGTTGCCATAATAGGTGATGAATGGGTCGTCATAGGGGAGGTCTGAGGTGAACTCTGTGGTGTTGGATTGGACTGTACACGAGTAAGAGGCGAAGATCTACCGGACCATTGATTGCTGGGATAATTGTTATCTGCGGAAGGCATATCAAACAAGTGTTGGATCTCAGCAGGCAGGTTATTGTATGAAACAGAATGTGTATTTTGGTTACGAAAAGTAGGCTGAGCAACAGAAAACGCGTTTTGATGGTTATTTTCGAGAATATCTTGGATTGAAAAGTTCAAGTCTTTTTGTTGCTCTTGTTTTGATGTGTCCTCTTCTTTATTGTTGTTGTCAGACATAGCGTTGTAAGAAAAAAAAAAAAAAAAAAAAAAAAGAAAAAAAAGTTTGAAAACATATAACGCGACATTTATAAAGTGATGTCACATGAAATTCGGTTACCGCATACGAGTCGATTTCATGTAGTCCTTATTTCAATAGTAAATGCACTAATGTTTCTATTCTAGGTGATTCGAATTTATCTTCTGAATGACTTTCTTGAATGTGCATAGACACAGTCTCTTTGACTTTGTGTGTCTTGAATAGCACTAAGGTATCATGCATACACAAATAGGCAGTATATCGGAGATTGAAAACGGATCGACCAGATTTCTTCAAGTCGATCAAAAATCAAGCCTTTGCTTAGAACTACATAAAAACGCAGCTATTTGGCTTTAGTTTAGTGACAAAAGTTAAAGACCTTAAATTTATAATTCTGTTGATGTAAAGGAGATATTAGATTTACTGCTAAAATATTGAGAAAATGTGCAGGAATGCTCATATCATATCATTTTTGTAGTACAATTGGTAAGCAAACACTTTGTTCAAAAACTAAAGTCTTTGGCGGTCATTTTGAGTATTCATGCTGGTAGATAGCTTTAATTTTCGTCTTGTAGCGTCAAAAAGAAGATCCTTTTTTTATTTATTTTTTTTTAAGTTGTGTTTATTGATTGAACCGCGTACACTAAGAGTAATGGTCAAAGTGAAGAGGCGGGTGCAATTGAGATAATGCTAAGAACTGATATAAAATATAATAACTAAATAGAAATACGATAAAAGAAAAAAAATTTAAAATAAAATAAACAATGTAGAGGTTATGGGAATGAATGGCATTGATCCTCTTCAATGGTCTGACGAACATTGGATCGGATGCTTGCCAATATTGCTGTGGATATAATGGAGGTCTTGTCAAAGATAAGTCTCATATAAGCAAGCCAAATTTGTGAAAGAGTTATTATGAGGATTCGGTATGGTTTGATTCCTTTCTATTGGCAGTACCAGATGTACGAGAAGTCCAGGGACAGAAGAGCCTCTTTGATATCAGATATTAAGGTGGTAGGCCAAAGAAACTCAAAGATGATTTCCTGCTATACCTTCTCTTTAGTTGGACAATGAAAGAGCATATGGCTAATAGAGTCAGTGGTAGTTAAGCACACCGGACAGAAGGGAGAGTCAAACACACGAGGCATAATAAAATGTAAGAATCGACGATGAGGAATACATCCCAAGATATACCGGTATGTCACATTACGTTGAATAGAGGTAAATGGCAGGGACCAAAAGAATTTCCACTGTACCTCTGTAATAGTTCTCAAGGCCAACGGAGGAATCACAGACGAGAGAACTGACTGACGAAATGTCTTAGCGAAGCCTTAATATTGCCGAGCAATTGATTATCTTGGAACCGAAATTGGTTGATCAAGGGCGCAAATGAGACCGTCAAGTCTACAAGTGGAGCAGGACTACAAGCAGAACTAAAAATGGCTGAAGTTTCAAACTCCCAGAATCAAGACCTCTAAACACTGTTGTGGGTGTGCGCTTCCAGTTAAGTAAGGCAGGACCACGAGTATCTTTCCAGTGAAAAAAATAAAGGCGAGTATCATATTGAAAGACATCTACTACCATCATTTTTTTGACACGGAGGGGAACCACAAAAGACGAAGAAGGAGGAACGTAAAGCACAGCTTGCAAAGGCAGGACCATAGCGGTAACAGTATTAAGGCGAGCATTAGCAAATAGTTACAGCTATTGACATTACAAATATGGAAGCTAAGCAGATACGAGACAGGATGAGAATCAATAACATCTTGATCATAAGCTAGCAAAGGATGCAGCCACCAAAAATACAGAGCCGAAGCTTGAACTTGAATGTCCATTACACCGAGTCTACCTTTTTCTTTTGACAAACTCCATACTTTCCAAGGAATAACAGGGAATATATTTTTGCGCAAAAAGTGAATGACCAAAGACATTAACTGTCGGAAATCAGCAAGCGTCAAAGGAGTAACCCGTAAGACAAAAAGAAGATCAAAAGTTGTCAAAACAAAGATTTTCATGAATAGCACCCTATGATTTGAGAGGTCTTTGGCCTTTTTTTACAAGTTGCCTTTTTGGGTTCAAATCGACTTCAAAGGTACCATAGATGTTATTAAGCATTCATGCTTTTACAAATGGGCTCTACAGTACCTCCGTTTCCCCCAAAAAAAAAAAGATCTGTATGGAATGTTCTCTTCTTTAGCCTTGAAGCATCCATTTTCTTGGTATCTCTGTTACATAAGTAATACTCATATACATAAATCTTGTCAGTATGTTGTTTTGATGGCAATAAAAAAAAACGTTTTGGCTAACGCATAGCTCAATCTGGCTAACAGTGGCTAAGCTTTCAGGCCCTTTAAAGGACAACAAATGCAATGTTCACTAAAACAGTCTACTATAAAGATCTCCAACTGATCTATGTGTAAACAGCCTATCTTATTTGTAAGCAAAATATGTCTGGCAAACAATAGTTTTTTTTTTTTTTTTTTACATCCCATCATATTTTAATTTCTGGCCTTTCCAGTTATGGACAAGCACCTATTTCATATATATGTAATCTTTATGATAGCCTGTTTAATTATTTAGCGTAAATCTACGCTTGTATATCAGAAGAGAAGTCTTCTTTTGGAGTGAATTCCTTTTCATCTTTTGAATTTGTACCACTTAAATCTTTTTAAGAAAAGAAAAGGCCCTTCTTGTTTAAACTCCTTTTTCTTTTCTGTTTTTCTATTTGTTCAACACCAAAAGGTTAAAAATAACTTTTTTTCCCTTGTCTCTCTCTTTTTACCCTCTTTTTTCTTTTCCTTCTTGTTTCTCTTATAGTAAACAAATGGGACAGCAAACAAGCCGAGAACATGCCCCTCTTACATTCGGTTATGTCAATCGAACTATCCCGAATATCTCAAAAGAAGAAGACCGGCAAGAACTCGACCAAGCACAACGAGATTTTGTGCTAGACAATCCTCATTTATATCAATTACAGACCATTTGCGATCAATGCAGCAAAGAAAATACTGTCAATCGTACCGAGGAAATGGTGGTTTCGCTTGTTAACGAATCGTGTGCGAAATGTAAAAGGCAGAAACGATTATCATTGGTTCGAAAGGGTTTGGCAGAAGATCTTGAATACATTGATCAGACATATTATCCAGATGTGGTTCATTACACAGAAGAAGATGATCAAATGGAACAAGAGCTGATTCAGCTGGAAAACAACCAGGAAGATGACACAAACAATTGGTCGAGACTAACGATTGGTGAAGCAACCTCGCCAAGTGGCAGCATTGCTTCTCGAAGAAGACCTCGACGACTGACTGGGCCCTCTTCATCTATGGCAGTTGATTTATCCCATCGTTCACTTGTGAAGTTGGGTCCAAGTATTGGCTATCTTAGCAGTTTAACCAAATTAAACCTGTAAGGATATTAACTTCATTTATATTTTCTTTATTGTACTAATTATCATGTGCTCAAGATCCAACAATCAAATGATGAGTTTACCTAGAGAAATAGGTTACCTCAAAAACTTGCGTGTCTTGAACATATCCAACAATGCAATTGAAGACATACCGAACACAATTACTTTTCTTACTAAACTAAAAGCATTAAATGTGAGCTATAATAAGCTTGTACAACTTCCAAGCTCCATTGGAAACTTACCAAAATTGGTTATCATCATTGCAAACGATAATAAGCTCACCAGTTTACCTCGCGAATTTGCTCATCTCACAAACCTTATTTCTCTCAATGTTTCCAACAACCCATTGAAATCGTTACCTGCAGAAATAGCTACATTAAGCAACCTTCGCAAACTTTTGACCGAAGATTGTTCTTTTGAGGAAGAATACAGCTATTCTCTCAAACACGACCCACCTTCTTTATTCGAAACATGTGCACGCATTGCTGTACGCTCGCAACTCTCTATCCCTCATCAACTGTCTGAACACATCAAAGATTATTTAGCTCGTGCCGATACTTGTTCGTACTGCAAAGGACCCTTTTTTGACAGTTTTGTATCCCGTGTACGGTTCATTGAACGAAGATTTAGGCAGCCTATGGCATTAGAATACACACTTTGCCGTGCCCATTGGAGTACAGACGAAGACCGACTATTGTGCATGTTTTCTGAACAACAACATACGACACAGGGCACCACAGTCGACATGGAGGGATTGAATGAAGTTGTCCATCGACATCGTGCTCATAGCGATGCTAGTAATACCAGTGTGGGTAGCAGTAATGTATTCCTCACACCTCCAGCTCCTCCTTTGATCTCGCAACCTTCTTTTTCTTCAAGAAGATCCAATTCGAATGCTTCGGAGTATCCACCCACCACAGACTATTTCCCTATCTCTTTACTCAAAAGTCAGCCTGATCTACCTGCACTTCCTTTAGAAAACACGAATATGGCCTCATCCCCATCTTCGTCCTCGTCATTACTCACGCCTCCCCCTTTGGCCACCAACATCAGGGGAAACCGCCCCCGTGCATCTTCAGCCACTTCAGTAACCAAACGATTTACAAATTTCATTCGATCCAACAGTAGTTCGTCTCTTACTAGAGAACGAAGTACCAGCGGATCTTCTTTATTACGTCCTTATCATCAGCCCACTCAAGAGAAAGTGCTACGCGATTGGACAGATAGTGTCCAAGTTGCTGCAGCTGCAGCTGTAGACACAGTTCAACAACAACAAGATCAGATTGAGGATCTTGTCATGAGAAACATGCAGCGGCCTACGCTTGTTTCATCTGGATCATCCTAATACCCCCCTCTCATACAAATAAAGAATAAAATAAAATAAAGAGTCTATAAAATCGCAGGTCGATTTCACAAGTTATGTAGCAACATTTGTTCTATCCCTGGAAACCGAGTTCCTTACGGTGAAAGGGTATTAGTAATGAGCTTGTTTTTTGATCTAGGTTTCTATGAGCAATAAAATCAAAGTAACAATGAACAATTTGATTCTGTAAGCAAGAAACCACCAAAGACAATTTGATGTATAATCTAACATGTACAGTTTATTTAAACTATAGAAAAAAGTGAGTTTGTATTCTATTGATGATGATATTTACTTTCTATAATTGAGGGATAATAATCAAGACATCTTCTTCTCCTCTAAAGATGTCTAATAGTTGTTTGTTCATTTGCTTCGTGCTGATAGGAACGCTCACTTTGCCATTGTGTCGAGCTACTTGGAAAGTCTGAGGCACATCCAATTCCTATAAAAAGGCATCAATACGTTATTCGTTTTTTTTTATTCACTTGCCTCTTTCATGATCTCTACTGCTTTTTCAATAGATTCATTCTTCAAAAATACAGATCCAAGTAAATTCTCATCTTCTCTTTTAGACAAATACACTAAAACTTCTCTTTCTATCCTTACATTGCTTTAATACAGACATGTCGTTTTTTTTTTTTTTATCTTTTTACCTTCTTCCCTGTTTTCAGACGTGTTTGTAGGTGGCTGATGAACAGCGTTGGCAGCTGTTTGTTTTCTAATCACATTTTCAATCTTGTTTTCTGAGAATTCATCAGGCATCAGCCATGTCTTTTCTAGATCAGGGTTTTTCATGTAGGTAGGCACAATAGGTAAAGCAGGTTCAGGACCTACTGAGATGGATTGATCACCCATGGCAGATTTTAACACATCAGTAACTTGTGGATGATGAGCAGATAAATCAAGTGCTGTTTGTCCCTTTTGTGTCTTAATAGAAGGATCTGCACCACTTCTTAATAAAGCAGTAGCCACATGAACATGACCACGATGGGCTGCCCAATGCAAAGCGGTCCTACATGGAATCAGACAATGAAAATACCACAATAAACATACCAGCCGTTCATGGCATTTTGTGAATTCACATTGACTCCCGAGTGAGCCAAATAAAGTGTAGCTTTAATATTTCCAAGGGCAGCTACTTCTCGAAGCGTGTGTTCTCGTTCATCACCTAAAGGCATTTTAATATGTGTATAAAACTAGGAAAAAAAATTTTAAATCATACGATAGGTCAAATGACTGTAAAAAAAAAAGCAAAGATCAAACTTGTTTTTTTGTATTACAATTATGTTTGTCAATGTCAGTGTGTTAAGAGAGAAAAAATGAGGTGATCTTTTTTCATGTTATTGTTGACAATGTTCTCCTTGATTTTCATTTTATTATTTATTGTCTTGTTTTATTCAATTCTTTTCTTTTATTTTCTTATTGACTAAACAATGCCAAAAACAGACACAAGTTTTTCTACTTACACTTCCATGATGCGGGTGACAAGCAAAGGAAGACCATATACTAAAGTAAGAAACCCAAAAAGGAAGTAAATAAGCTAATTGGAGCAGGATCTATATGACATGTTTGCTGCTGTATTGCTTCAGATTGAACTGACGGATCACCGAATCATGTTTCGTACTTATCCTTACACATTCACCACAGCCGAAGCCGCTCAAGTCATGTCCTCGCTCACATTCATTCATGTTCACCGAAAACCCGATCCTGCAGATCCCTCACGTCAAATTGCGACTCGGACCACAACCACATTCAGCATGGACTATGGTACAGCAAAGCACTTGCTACAACAATTCTTAGCTGCTCGTCTCATCATGAGTGCTACTGATCCCACCAATTGGTCTATCAAAGACAAAGGTCTTTGGTCTCCTACATTAAAGGGCAAATATGTACTCGAAGAATTTACTGATTCCACTCAAGTAGAGATGCCTAACACACTCATTGCTGCCCTGAATGCACCTTACATGTCTCCTGGATCCACTGGCCGCTTGATTACCTTAGAGCGCCTCAGTGATAACGATGACCAAATCACATTTGCTCGGCCAAATATGACCATAGCCTTCAAAGCCATGATGTCAAGTTTACCAAGAGATGCTCTGTTTATGGAAGAAATTGTTGGTGTTGAGAAACGTAGCTTTACCGGCCAGTATGAACACACGATTGTAGGCACACATTGTGTTGAATGGTTGTGTGATCGTTTGACTGTCAATTCCCGAGAAGAAGCTGAAATGGTTGCTGCTCAATTTGTCTTGTTTGGCTGGATTGCACTTGTCTTGGACCGATCAGATCGCGTGCTAAATAGTAAAGATGATGCCATGGCATTCAAGACAGCAAGGAATGCAATCTATTATATCACTGAGCGTGGTTGCTTGATTCTCGGAGCAAAAGCCTTTACAGGCGAAGAGCAAACAAGCAGCATCTCGGCTGATTCTGTAACAACAAACGATAGCCATGTTATCATGAAGCAAGCACCTCGTAGACGCAATCCATCAGCCAACAGTAACGTCAGTTATGAGTCTACAGAAGCCAAACCTGCTGAAATGATACGCCATGATTCCGCTACTGCTGGTATAACCCCTCCTGAACGCCCACCAAGCATGATTGAGACTTCTCCCATTAAAGATAATTCACAATGGACACGTTTGATGCAAATCTTGGAAACGCCATTAATGCGTATGTATTTCCGAGACTTTTTACGTTCCAATTATTGTGTTGAGAACATCAATTTCTGGGTTGATCACAATAAGCTGATAGCTAGCAGCAACAAGAATGTGATTGACCAACTTTCAGACGCTTATGCAATTTACGAAAACTACCTTGGACCACAAGCAACAGCCGATTTAAATATTGACCATACACTGAATCAAGACATCATTCGTTATTGCTCTACCTATTTCTATACTGTCAATCAAACACCTCCGTCCCATGTCCCTCATTTTACTATGTCTTTCCCTACGCCCAATCATACCACTGTCGCTCCTTCTGCTAAGTCCTCCAAGGCGTCCACTCGTCTTTTATTATTACCGCCTCAAGTTGTTTCAGGTACAAGCAAGAAGCGTATTGTGGTCATTCGAGGCATGGTACCTGAAAAATGCTTAAGCAAATTACTTTTTATATTTTCCAAGGTCAATGATCATGTATGTCGCATGATGGCCGAAGACTCAGTCCCCAAGTTTATCAAGACCAAGAAATATAAAGACTTGATACTTCAACAAGAAAAGAAGAAGCAAGAACAACACGAAGAAGAGAGTGATGAAGAAAGTATTGATATTTATTTTGAAGATAGTGATGAAGAAAATCAAGTGATTAGTTTGACAACAGCCTTGTCTGCTCAAAGAAGTTCAATGGACCATCAACGACATAGAAATGATGCCATTTCAATCATGTAATATAAATATGTATAATAAGACTTTAATGTAGGTAGTACAGATGTACTATTTAAGACCGTAAGGAGATTGTAGAAATAGGATAAATTGAATAATTAAAACGCCTAAGAATTCATATGCTCAATATACTCTATTAGCACAAGCCGCCAATGGCACATGGAATAAAGTGTAGGAGGAGATTAAGGAGCAAAGCAAGATTTTTCTTTTTTATGTTTGGCTGAGCAAGTCCTATTTAAAGACAAGTCAACTGAGGTAACTCGAGACACAAAAGCGCCACAGCAGATAAGAGAATTGCCAAAAAAAAAAAAACTGTTGTCATATTTATTATGATGAATTATTAAGCAATGGTATATGTATAAGTAAATGCATAAGTATAAGAGAAAAAAATATAGTTCTAGTGGTGTACAGTAAATTAATGAGCGGTTTTTGTTTTTTGTCTTCTTTGACGAGCAGCATTTGCAGCGGCTAAAGCATTTGGCGACATTTTGATACGAACAGCTGTATTTCTCTTTGTAGCATTATCGACTTTGCCTGTAAGCTTTTGTAATGTCAAGTCATATTCATCTGTATAATAGCGATCAATTTCGGCTTCTTCACTATCATAATCTACTTCACTTGATTCCTTGTCTTCGTCTTCTTCATCAAACAAGTCTTGATTGATAGCCTGCTTTAATTCCTGTTTTTCGTCAAACTCTTCATGACCAGCAGAGAGAAACGTGATTTTAGGAGGTAAAGAAAGTTCTGGGCGATAAAAACAAGCAGGTGAACTCTTTTCATCTTTGGTGTAAAGTAGGTCGCAGTAATCATTGGGTAATGTTCGATGCTTACGAATGTCAGTACGCATCTTTATCAATTTGGAAGCATAACGTATACAAGTATACAGGCTTTGTCTTTTCACAGGCTTTTGTTCAACTTGCATAATGATAAATAAAATAAGAAAATGAAAGAACACAAGAAAAAAAGGTAAACAAGCTATTTATATACTTTAGAAAATTTCCCTCTTTTTCTTCTTGAAACAGTTTTCTTACATAGCCTCCTATTCATCCCCTTTTTTATTATTGGGATGGTATTACTGGATCACACGGTGGCGTACTCCTATAATGCAAATAGTTGATCTTAAGGTCAGTGATGTACTTATTAGTTTTTCGACTTGGCAAGATTATAGTTTGAATAAACATTGCCGATTGCAAATCGATTATTTGCTAATTCATGATTTTGTCCGACAAAAACATTCAATCCCTGAAACGAGGAGTCGCTTAGGCGTCTATCCGCTTGCGCCATAATACACGATATCGATCGAACATACTCAATCGAGACTAAAAGGGTAAAGACACGTCTTTTTCTCTTTTGAGAAAGATAGCCTGTCAATCAATTTTGAGAAAGAAGGTTTATCAAAGCAAACAAAACAACCTCAATTCATTATACTCAAGGATCATGCTGTCTTTTTTGCTAATTGTTCTTTCCCTTGGTGTTATATAATTGAATGATTTGAGTTTGACAAAGAAAACTTTTATAAACCGTAATTGATATTTTGTATCTTTGGTTTATAGTAAACAGATTTTTGGAACTGTGTAACATGTTTCTTTCTTACACTTCGCAAATAAAGCATTTTATTAATTTATGCGTACACTTTGACCTCTTTTTGTATGATTTATGTTGCCAATGCCCATAGAAAAAAATAGATTTTCTTGATAATTAACAATGTTATAATGTATTTAGAAAATCTGCATAGGATTGAAGCGCATTATTTAGCTAAAATTCTCTGCAATTTATTTTTCTTCAAGAAATTCGTAAGCAGTAGCCTTGTGCGACAAAATTCAAAATCAAAAATTACATTATCGATTCCAACAGTACATCAAAAGGCCTTACGCAGAGTTTGATATGTCTTTTGCATAAAAGTTTAAGATGAATCACTCTTTGCCCCGAAAAAAAGTACTTTCCCAATAAACTTGACAAATATAAAAGAACAAGAAAGACAAGAGTTTATTATACAAAAAAAGAAGACTATAAAAAAAAGAAGAGGGGGTAACTGTACAATGATGGTATAAAGAACTTTTCCCCTCTCCTTCCACTCTTTATCGACGTCTATCTTTTGAGCTTCTTTCATATCTATCATACTTTCTATGATGATCATCACGATGAGAAGAAGAAGATCGTCTACGTCTACTGTCATGCTCACTACTACTATGATGATGGTGGTGGTGATGATGACTACTTTTTCTTGACGAAGAAGTACTGTCTCTTCGACGATGTTCAGGAGATCGATGTCGGTGCCTGTGTTCTCTACTGCTGTTATTCTTTTCTTCTTTTTGAGTAGCAGCGACAATCTTCTCATAAACATCAATCAGGTTCTTCCAAGAAAGCTTCATGCCGGGCCAATATTGACAAGTAAACATCCACAAATGACGCTTTAGATGTTCATCGCGAGGATAGTCATGGACTTGACGATCAATGTGCTTACCAATCTTAAGCATGCATTCTTTAATCATTTGCGCCTTTTCTGTACCGTCTGCCTTATTAGCATCATCGCGTAATCGACACAAGACATGTTTAACGGGCCGCATAGAAGAATAAGCGGCATCTTCGTCATAACTATCGTCTGGCACTTTGTTTTCTTTTTCAGTACGCTTAGATGGTCGAGGCAAATCTGTTGTGCGTGATTTACGTTTCTTGATCGTTTCTTCCTCTTGCTGTTGTTGCTGCAGCAGTTGTTGTTGTTGTTGTTGTTGTTGTTGTTGTTGTTGTAGTTGTAGTTGTTGTTGTTGTTGTTGCTGTAGTTGTTGTAGTTGCTGTTGCTTTTGTTGTTGCTTTAATTTAGGCCCCTTTTTTGTACTAGAGGATCGTTCATTTCGTAGCTTGTCTTCTTCTGCTAAAATCTTCATCATTTGTTCTGCACGACGTACTAGATGAATAGCTTTAGGTGTCTTTTTATCGTCATCTTGACTGCCAATAAAGAACTTGTCTGAAAGACCAAGTGGTGTATCTGCTTGAATAGCAGGCCATGAACCAAATCCATGATGATGCACACCCACAAGGAGCATAGCATCTTCTTTAGGACCCCAAGCACACGACCAACCCTGAACACGCTTAGCACCCAACGAGATACGGAATTTGGTTCGATCAGGTACCGCACTAAGACGACGAGCTAGCACCTTCATATCATGATGGCGTTGAAAGATCTGCCCAGCATTGACACTAGCAATATCATGCCATGTAAACAAGATGGCCTTTTGTTTTGTATGACGAAGTTCTGCCAATAATTGATCTTCTGTAGGTTCTTGGTTTTTTTCAATAGTATGATTGGCTTCAGCTTGTTCACGCACTTGAGCTTTACATTCAGCAATTAAATCCTTGTAAAGGGATAGAATGAGTTCCTTGTCTTTCTGCTCTAAGTCGAAATCACTGACGGCTTCAGTGTAACGTGCCTCAAGATCGCCATATTTGAGTACAGCACGAACAATGGCTCGTCGATCACGTTCAGATAATTCATCTGCTTTTCCGTTATGATGTCGCTTACGACTCGACGTACCATTGCTGGCTCTTTTTCGTTTCTTGGTGTCTATTTCTTCTTCTTCCTCTTCTTCCATGTTGTACTTGACACGGTTCTTTTTAGCTGCACGGTCATACAAGGCAGCCTGATCTTCCTTATCTTGCTCTTGTTCCAATTTGTCACGTTCAGATTGAGGAATGATATCATCCCAACTAAGATCTTCTGCTGTACCTCCATAGTCTGTAATCTTGAACTGAGCCAAAAAGTCATCTGAGCCCAATGCACTGTCTTGACCTTCTAATGTCTCTGTGGTCTCTGCACGCTCCAGGATTTCATCCAGATCAATGTCATTCACAGGCTGCGTATTTTCTGTGGATTGGAACATGTTTTTAGCACCAAACTTGAGTACAGCAGACATTTCTGCACGGTTGAATGGAATATCTCGGTTCTTTGTGTTAGTGAGTGTCTGTTGCTCTGCTAAAAACGAATGACCCGATGTATCCATTTGTTTGATAATGCAATATTCTAACACCATCTTTCGCTTAGCACGTTCAATAATGTCTTCTTCCATCGTGCCTTTCGTCACAAATCGATAGACATTGACTGATTTTGTTTGACCAATACGATGGGCACGTGACATGGCCTGTAAGTCGTTTTGTGGGTTCCAATCACTGTCGAAAATAATCACTGTGTCTGCTGTCACTAGGTTGATACCCATACCACCTGCGCGTGTCGATAACAAAAAGACGAAATCAGGACTTTCCGGTGCATTAAAGTGCTCAATGGCCTTGTTACGGTCTTCAGGCTTCATGGAGCCGTCCAAACGTTGAAAAGGATGTCCACGCAATGTCATGTAATCCGACAAAATATCAAGCATCATGACCAACTGAGAGAAAATCAATACACGGTGACCGTTTTCTTTAAGGCGACTCAAGAGTTTATCCAACAAAACCATTTTACCACTGTTTTCAATCAGACCTTTGAGTTGTGTGATGCGACTGGTAGAAGGTGTTTCAACATCGGGAAACAAGAAAGGATGGTTACTTGCTTTCTTTAGTTCGATAGCAATATTAAGCCATTGCTTCTTGCTTTCTGTACCAGATGACAATAAGTCAAAGTTTTTAGCCAAAATGTGCTTGTAGTATGTCTTTTGGAGTTCGCTCATTTCCACACGCAAGATACGTTCTGATTTGTTGGGAAGTGACTTTTCGACATCTTTTTTCAATCGACGCAGCATCAGACGCTTAATCCTGTTGTGGAGTGCTTTGATCTTTTCTTCTTGGTTAATATCTTCCACATCCAAATCAAAATTGTAAGCACTGAGATCAATGCTGGGCATCAAGAACCGAACAAGAGCTAATAGTTCAGTCACATTGTTCTGTAAAGGTGTACCTGTGATCAACAGACGGTTGGTTGTCTGGAACACAAAAAGTGCTTCATACAACTGAGAATCAGCATTTTTGAGCCGATGTGCTTCATCTACAGCGAGATATTGCCAGCGAATGTTGCCCAAAATATCCTTGTCTTTCAAAACAATTTCATAAGTAGTGATTAATGCATTAAACTTGAGTCGCTTTGTGCCTGAGAGATAAAATTCAGTGTTTCGAATCACTTCACGCGAAGCTCTGTTGCCTAGATAACAAATCACATTCATTTCAGGTGCCCACTGCTTAAATTCTTGCATCCAATTATCAGACGTGGACAAGGGTACCACAATCAAAAATGGCCCATACAATCGACTATGATGAAACAAGGTGTTCAAGAAACTAATGGTCTGAACTGTCTTTCCTAATCCCATTTCATCTGCCAAAATACCGTTCTCATTTCGACACCATAAATAATACATCCAATTGACACCATGTAGTTGATAGTCACGCAATTCGCCACCAGAAATAAACGAAGGCTGTGTCTTGAACGCACTAAAATCGGGTCGATTGCCTCGAGGATAAGTCGTGGACCGATGAGGAATATGGGTGTTCTGTTCTCGAATGAGATAATCGTCAATCTCTGGCTGATGATCAGCAGCAATTAAATCAGCGCTCTCCCAAGTGCATTCATCGTAGTGAAGTCGTTTCCATTTAACAAAGTATTCAATGTTAGGTGGTTGGCCACGCGAGGCTAAAACACGATCGACTGTCCGCCAATCTTGAATTTCGTCTCGACGACGCGAAAGTTTGATATCGCGTTGTTCAATTTCTTCCCGCGTGGTCTCGATATTGGCCCGAAAGTTTTGTTCGTCAAAATAGCTACGGATGTAGTTTTCGAGTTTACGAAAGCTTTTACAGGTTTTAAGATATTCATATGTATCCCAAGTGTCGTGTAGATGAGACCAAGATTTCCATTTGATCAGAAATTCAAGGTTTTTTTCTGGTATATCGGGGCCTCCTTCTACTCCAAATAAGTAAAGAGAAATAGATCATGGTGCATGCTTACCATCGCCTTCTTTTCTTCGGTGATCCAGCACTTGTTCAATCACATCTCCTTCGTCTTCTTCAGCGGGAACAGGGGTATAAGTCTCGACAATCTCTTCTTCTGAAAGGCCCCAAAGCTCAGCATTATCTTCGTTGTAGTTTGTCACTTTACGAGCACGAGTTGAATGACGAGCGAAATCACTTGGAGAAATAGCACCTAAACCCAAGATAAATGATCCTATAGTCATACATACCACCTACAAACACACACACACACACACACTTACGTTGAGATTTCTGTTTAAGACGCTTTGTTCTCGTCTTTCTCTTTGTGGATCCCCAATCTTCTTCAGAGCTCATACTCTCTTCTTCTTCTTCAGTTTCATAGGACACTGTCATTGGCATTAATAACATGCATGAAAATACGAGAACATACCTCGTTGAGTTTTGGATGGACGAGTATTTCGTCTTGTTTTTGTTTGCTTAGGACTACCATAATCATCATCTGAACTATTGTCTTGTATCTCTTCATCTGTTGTAAATGTCATTTCTTCTGATTCTACTCCTGTCTAGAAGAAAGAAAAAAAGGTGAGAAAGATAGAAGACAACAGTGTATATGTTACACATTTACAGTCTTTTTATGTCGGTCTGAACGTCTTAAGCAGTATAAGTCTGGGTCTAAATAGTTGTCTTGTTCTTCGTCGTCCATGGGTTCTTCTTGCTCTTCAGAAGCATAAGGTGAAGGTGAACTTTGTAGAGATAACATGTTTTCGTCGTCTGTGGTTATTTGCTCCAGAGTCTGATCAAGATCTGATGCCATTGGAGCAACAGTCGCTTTACTTTTTAAGCTTAAATGATAGTTATCAGAATAGTCTTCTTCTGACTCTGAGTCTGTAAATATATTATTGTTTTTATGAAAACTCATACTATTGCTTTTATTGTTAATCTCTTGTGTTCATAAAAACGCGTCTACTGTACTTACAATACTTTTCTCTTTTGTTTTCTTATAGAATGATATTGAAGAGAGAGAAAGAATATAGCAGAAAAGAAAGAGAATCTGCTTATTAATATGAATTATTTCTCTCTTCTATATTTAAGGAACTTGTTTAAAGAAAAGAAAGAAAGAGAAAAAAATTTCATATTCGATTTGAAATTCAGAATTTTATTCTTAAATGATAGTGTTGCCAAAAGATCCATGGTATAAGACAAACAATAAACATATAGACTACATTAACAACCAAAGAGATCAAATCACTTGCATAAAGTGTGTACATAGTTAAATTGATCGTGCCTGTCAAGACATTAGCCTATATTTATATACAAAGTAATGAGTTTATATAAGAATAGAGACTGTTTCTTATTTACCAATAAGAATGTGAATAGACCATTCATATTCATAGCATCCAACATGGGTGGACCACGTCCTCTTGGTTTAGCATAGTCATCAACAAGGATAAGCAAGGTTAAAAGGGAGACATTAAATGCAATGACCCATACAACATAAGGTAAATTAGCCTAGATAGGGTTTATCAGTCTGTCTTTGAGGGGATAGTTTACCATTCGACGAGACACATAATAATCAGGAAAAAACCAAGTCCAAGCAGCCAATGCACCCCACATGATCCCACTAAAGAGAATCAATTTCATTGGTTTTGAAGAAAAGATCCAAACTCCAACCTGCAAACCAAATAAAAAGATAGACAAATATCCTGCAAAACTGCAAATTCCTTCCTTGTTTGCACTTAATAGATCAACACGAGGTGCATTTAAGACCCACTCCTGTAATCCCTGACAGAGTACGAATTGATAGACACCGGCTATCATGGCTCCAAACAAAGCAAATTGTTGTGTATAGGCGAATGCTGTCACAAAGGGAGGTAAAAATCCCAAAGTAAAAAAAAAGTTCCAATGAAGTCCATATTCTGAATTATGTTCTTGATAATTCACACTTTTGGTCAAGAAAAATCGAGCAAATCCTAATACTAAAATGGGCAATGCAGTGCGCATCGATTGAAGCATGGTGGTTGTGAATCGCTTTTGAACTGGATCAAGATAGGCTCGAGAAGCAACAATGCCTGAAGAAAACACAAAAGAACCTACACCCACATCCATCTTATCTATAAATCAACACACTGTGGCTGCATAAGGATAAACTTTTCGTTACCAATGAAGTGCCAAATGTTTCTACTTTAGCAAAACGACGAGGGAAGAATTGAAAATCAACAGCAAGAATAGCAATGCACGTCGATATCATGGTGCCTGCACGATAGACAGTCAAAAAGGGTTTGTAATTATCATTGGCTGGCTTGGTTTCCTTGGTTTCAGTAACGCGACCTGTCAAAAAGATAGCCATAGCAACCGTTGCCATGCCGATAGTGACAGCATAAGCATAATCAGATGCCAGTGTCATATTCAATAATACAGGTAGCACGTAAATAACAAATTGAGGTAAAAATTTATCTTGAGAAACACTGTTTGTTTGAACAAGACTTGCCCACAACAAGTGAGAGCTCTAATTGAAGCATATGAGGCAAACAAATGGTTGTTTTAGAAAGTACACTTACCACAAGCGAGCCACAAACTGTGCTTATCTCATGTATATTACCACCTGTACAGTTGGATACATGGGCTTCTTTAGCCAACTTGTATTCCTCCTCACTTATTTTCATCATAAAATAAATAAGTAAAAAAGATGTCACTTGGTTTTCGGTGCGGGAGGTATGCGGTAGTTGAATTTAGGCTGTGAGTGAGTATATCAGTGGGATTTCCTCAAGACCTATTTTAAATCTTCCTCAATAAATCCAAATGGTAAAGTAGCATCAATCCATTGAAGAAGACAGAAGAAAAGGGGTGTGCGTGATAGGAAAAAAGGGGGGAGATGGACATCAATGACAACAAAAGCAGTATGGATGGATAGAAATACGCAATGGATGGAAATAGTTGTAGATCACCATAAAGCTAACATGTACATCTCATTATAGGCTAAGAAAGACGTTGCTGCTAAGCCTAGCTCATCCTCTGGCGGAAAGAAGGCCAAGAAGAAGTGGTCTGCCAAGAAGGTCAAGGATAAGGCCAACAACTTGGTCATCCTCGACAAGCCCACCTACGAACGTTTGTTCAAGGAAGTTCCTACCTACAAGCTCATTTCTCAATCTGTCTTGGTTGACCGTCTCAAGTTGAACGGTTCTTTGGCTCGTATTGCTATCCGTGAACTCGAAGCTCAAGGTTTGATCAAGCCTATCTCTCGCCACCATGCTCAAATCATCTACAGTAAGTATATCATAAGATTACCATTTCAGTGTAACTAAACTATTCTATAGCTCGTGCCACTGGTGATGAAAAGAAGGCTGCTGCTGACGATGAAGAGTAAATAGTTTCCCCCATTTATAAATAAACATATACAATGTATGTACATATATGTACGCGTCTTCTTTATCAGCATAACATGATGATTTCATTCGATTTTCGCCTATTTAAATAACTTGTAAAACGCTGTTTTCACCCTTTTTCCCTTTTTCCTTTTTTTCTCTCTTTTTTCTTTCAACAAGATGACTAGCTCTGTTGCTGGAGAACAGTTTATTCGCACTTTAAGACATTATCTGGAAGCTAACGAACATCGTTTTATTCCCACTACAAACAAACCAGCACATATTAAAGAAGAAGCACCTAAAGAAACCAATTTCTTCAAGACAGTCTCTTCGTTATGGTCCAATACAACAGACATACCAGACACACACTCTCGACCCAACTCTTTGTACGGTATACCTGTCCCTTACATGTCTTTGTTAGCAGCCACTTCACCCGACGCCAGCTCACTTTCAAACATATCGTATATGCCACCTCGTTCTTGTCTAACACTGGATATTCATCACTTGTACTTTTTACTGGTTCAATTTGAATATTTAGGGTTAGAAGAAACCCAGCTGCCTGTACCAGAGCATGGTCTTGTGGAGACAGAAACCACATCCACAGCAGGCAAAGCACCTTCCATGACATCTGTAGGCTCTGTCATGTCCACACTTTCGCTCACCACAGGCTGGCAATTCTGGTCTGCCAAACAAACACAGGATCGTCCTTTACATGAAGACATTGTCTATATTCACAAGTATCTGTCGCGAGTATCAGCTCTCAAATTACACATGCATCTCCTGACAGAGCACGGCGTCACAAAAAGTGGACAACGCACCATTCGAGGCTACGAATCACCATTTCCTCAAGACGGTTCAATTCAGTTATCACTGCATGCGTTTAAGCATTTAAAATGTTTAGAGTTAAATCAGATCAGCCCATGCTGTATTCAAAACTGGTCCGAATTACAATCCCTGACGAGTTTGGTAGTGAAGGCAGGCAATGTGGATAATGTGGTTGATATTGTAGGCACACAGGTCTGGCCTGACCTCAAGATGTTGTCCTTGCAAGATAATGCCTTAACCACATTTGAACAAGAGCCAGCCGGGTTATTGAGATCCATCACACATCTGAACTTGGCCAGTAATCTGTTGATCGATATTCCTGCTGCACTCTCCTTACTCTATAATCTGTCTAGTCTGAACTTATCGTACAATATGATTTCATTTACGACAGGCATCAATACAGTGCTAGGAAACATTCAAGAATTAGACTTGAGAGGCAATCGATTGACTTTGTTGGCTGGTTTAGATCGGTTATGGGCATTAGAAAGGCTAGATGTACGTGATAATCGTATTGAGGATAGTGCTGAGATAGGCAGATTGACAGCTTTACCCAACATACGTGATATCTGGGTTGAAGGAAACCCTTTTACTAAAATGAAGGCAAGTGAAGATGTATACATATCTTGTTCTTATCTTTATTTCTAGCCTGATTACCGTATCGATATCTTTAACCAGTTTAGCAAGAACCAACTCGAGATTGAATTGGACGGCACAAAGCCTAGTTTTACAGAACGTCGACATGTCAGTATACCAAATGAGATGCAGGTACCTACTGCACCTACAAAATGGCCAACTGCTGCTGTACCAGAAACAGAACAAGTACCTATCGTCAAGACAAAAAAGAAACTGGCACGTACAAAATCCAAAAGCAACAAACGCCAAATTCGACTAGGAAGACCTATAGAAGATGAGGAAACGATACCTGTGCCTGAAGCCTATCTTTCAGACGATGAATCCAAGAAGCACAGACATCGACTGGCTGATTTAGAGGAAGCAGTCCAACAAGAAGCCAAGAGTGCACGTAGAGCAGCTTCTGTCCGGTCACGACGTAGTAAGAAAGCAACAGCCGCAGAAGAGAAAGCGGCTGCTTTAGCTGCTGCTACTGCAAATAGTGAAGAACTCAAGAAATCTAGCGAGGCATTTCGAAAGAAAATCGAGGCCATGCGAAGAGAAGCAGGTACAGAATGGCTTCGTGTCTTACAGGAAATGGATATCAAGAAAGAGACATAGTGTAACCCAAAATAAAATGCATCACCTGCGTACGGACAAAAACGGATTTTCATTTGGGGCAAACAAGAACAATGATAGACACACGTGTGTCACGCCCCTTGATTTTAAAGTTTTAAACTGAGTATAGAAAAAAGCTGTTGTTTTCTTTTCTCTCTTCTCTCTCTTTTCTCTTATTGAACTTGGGATGCAGACACTGGCACAGCAAGTGGCCTATGACATTGCGTTATGGCTGTTTAATTTGATGATCAATATTTTCTTTCGAGAAGTTAGGCCAAGAGGCGCGCATAAGATACCCAAAGATGGACCAGTGATATTTGTTGTAGCTCCACACGCAAATCAAGTAAGTCCCATTTTCATATACGTATAATATAAACATGATGTAGTTTGTAGACCCTATTGTGCTTATGAGAGAATGTGGAAGAAGAGTATCATTTCTTATTGCAGAAATATCCATGCATCAAAGGGGTATAGGGTTTTTTGCAAGATTACTCAGTGCAAGTAAAGTATGTCCACCATAGAAACCAATGACTTATTTCTCCATAGTTCCTGTTATACGCCCTCAAGATTTAGCAAAGGCAGGCGAAGGTCGTATTCAGCTTTTGAATAGAAAAACAGACCCCTTACGTATCATTGGTACACATACCCAGTTCCTAAAACAACTCAAGCCCAGGGATTCGATTGTATTACCTAAAGGGTGTGGACAATCAGAAGTGGTCCAGATTATTTCGGATACAGAATTGATTATCAAAAAGGAATTCAAGGAACTCAAGGCTCTAGAACTATTGACACAGTCTGAAGGTACTGCTTATAAATGCGTGCCTCACGTAGAACAGGAGTCAGTCTATAGATCTGTTCATGATGAACTTAATAACGGAAGATGTATTACTATCTTTCCAGAAGGTGGAAGCCATGATAGAGCCGAAATGTTACCATTAAAAGGTAAGTCCAATAACCCAGCCTAAGCGTGTCCATTCATACGATGGTAGCTGGCGTCACTGTGATGGCATTGGGTGCCATGGCTAAATATGAAGGACTCAATGTCAAGATTGTGCCTTGTGGTAAGCTATGCTCTTAAAAAGTTATCTCGTACTCACTCAACAGGCCTGAATTACTTTCACGCTCACCGGTTTAGATCTCGTGCAGTGATTGAATTCGGCAATCCCATTTCAGTATCTCCCGAACTCGTGGAGAAATTTAAAGCGGGCGGTACAGAGAAACGTGAGGCTTGTTCTACTTTGTTGGACAGTATCTACAATGCTCTCAAGACAGTGACGATCAATGCGGGTAGTTATGAGACACTGATGGTAACCATCTTAACCTTGTTTTATTGCATACTTATATCCTTCTTAGTTGATTCAAGCTGCTAGAAGGTTGTATAAGCCTGCACATACAAAACTGCATTTGTCCCAAGTAGTGGATCTTAACAGACGATTTCTTATTGGCTATAATTTGTTTAAAGATGATCCTAAAGTGATTGAATTACAACAAAGAGTGATGGCTTATAATCAACTTTTAAAATACCATGGTATCAAAGACCACCAAGTATCAAAACTAAGTAATCGTGACAAAGGAAGGCTGTTATGGCTGTTAATCAAGCGTGTGTTTGTCTTGATTATTTTGGGTTTATGGGCATTTCCTGGTGGTATTCTGAATCTTCCAGTCGTCATTGTGGCTAAAGTAATTAGTCAAAAAAAAGCACAAGGTAAAAAAAAAAAAAAAAAAAAAAAAAAAACTCTGAACATTGTCTCTGTTTCTAAATTTGTGTATTAGCTGCTTTGAAAGGATCGACTGTCAAAATTGCAGGTCGGGATGTATTGGCTACATGGAAATTATTAGTGGGATTAGTCCTTTTACCTACTTTATATGCTTTTTATAGCTTGATTGTCTTTGTTGTCTTGTTACAAACAAATCTTGAGTTTAAATGGAAATTGATGTTACCCTTGGCTACTTGGGCATTGTTACCTTTTGCGTCTTATGCTAGTTTACGGTTTGGTGAAATTGGTCTAGACATTTTCAAGTAAGTAAGTATGGTTTGAGTATCTTGTTTAAAAAAGGACGTTATAGATCTATCCAGCCTACTTTTTTGGCTTTATTGGATCCTCAAGCTGCTGAAACACTCCGTCAAAACAGAGAAAAGCTTTCCAGCAATATTACTGAACTCATTAATGAATATGGACCCAAAGTATTCCCAGATTTTGATGGTAAAGCAGCATATACTTTATGACAGATATTAAATCTCTATAAGCCAATTATATCTCTAGAACCACCGAACCAAGTCGTACAACAAGCAATGCTAGTCTTTCATGGACTTCTGCACCGAGCAAACTCCCCAAGATTGCCAGTGGATTTTTCCAACAAGCAACTCGTATGAACTGGCTTGATGACAAGAACATTTTCAACTGGGTTCGTTCAGAAGAAGATGATGGCTTTTTAGACAAGTTTTACTTCAACATCAGTGGTCGTAGTCGAAGTGGATCTGTGAGTGAATCAGACAGCAGAAGCCGAAGTCGAACCAATAGTATTAGCAGTGAAGTGTTTAAGATAGAAGGCATGACGAGTTTACCGCAAAAGCAGCCTATACCAGAACTCGTTATTACATCACCCCATGACCAGAAACTATTGTCAAGACGTATTTTCCGTATTGATGATGTAGAAGAAGATGAAGATGACGAGGAAAGAGATGGAAAACTTGTTTACAAATTGGCGATTAGAGAGGATAAAAAGGATATTTAAATTTTCATATGTCTATCATATGGTTCAATGTGACCTTTCTGAATAATAAACTTATCCCTTTTTTTTTCTTTTTTCTTTTTTCTTTACTTACTTTGCGATGGGACAAGCAGCTTCAATTACACTTGGAAACAAATCTGATATTATTTATGATAAAGACGATTTCTCAAATCGGTTTTATAAGGCCACTATAGCAGTGCCTATGGTGATTGTTGCGTTTCCTATTTTAAATGCCTACAAGTTTAGCGCAAATGAATTTACAGGTGTCAAAGTAGTGGATAGCACTATTGGGGGGCTTCTTGGTGTGGTTGGATGTAAGGTCAAACTATAAATCAACTTAGTCATAACAAACAATAGGGCCAATATCTCCTTTTGTTGCTTTTTGGTCAGCCTATCAACACATCTTTACAGAGGGACCCAACACATCTACGGAAGTGTCTGAAGAAACAAAACAACTCGTTCGAAAGGCTATTGGGCTTGATTGTGATAATTTTTATAATGTTGCTGTTGTAGGAGCAGCAGGCACAGGCAAGGTAAAATTGAGATAAAAACTTTTTTTTTGTTTACTGAATTACCATTTATAGAGTTCAGTTGTAAATGGGATATTAGGCTATCCTGATACAGATCGCTATGCAGCCTCTATTCATGAAACAGGCAAAAATTATATAGATGAGCCTCGAGGTTATCGGCACCCTGAACTACGAAAAATGATATTATGGGATATGCCCGGTGCAGGTACAACCACACATCCTACAGCTACTTATTTTCAAGATCATTATTTACAAGCATTTGATTCTCTCATTATTGTAACGGCAGAAAGGTATAAATGCAGTAAATCCGATGTATCACCCAGTTGTACTGATTTGGGCATAGATTACAATCCATTGATTTGGATATTGCGGTAAAAGCACAAGAACATCACATTCCGGTTCTATTTGTGCGCAATCGATGTGATCAGGTAACTCCTTTTTATTTAGTCTATACATGTAACTCATCAGCGACAAATAGTCTCTAAATTCAAAAATAGAACGATATAAAGACCAAGGACTAGAT